ACTCATTTTTTTCTTGTTAATTATCTTACTCTTAGACTTCTTTATAATTATTCTATTCTATAATAGCTATTTAGTTATTTTATTCTTATATTTCTTCTTAATAATTTTGTAATTATTTTTCTTATTAATTAATATCTTCTTATATTTCTGTATAATTATTATTTTCATATATTTTTAATTAATTATTATTTTCTTATATTTCTTCTTCATTATTAAATAAGTATTTTTGTTCCTAATTAACTTATTCATCTTAATTATGTTATAATTCTTAATTAACTAAATTTAATATGTGTTATTCTTATTTTAATTATTATCTATAATGAATTATTAAAAATTTCCTATATCCTTTTAATTTTTAAATTTCTATGGAATAATTTATCTATCATAAAAATAATTCCAGTCCTAATTATCTAGCTATAAATCTAAACTCTAAATAAAGTCGCAAATATAAATTAAAAAACACAGATAGCCTTTATTAGTTTTATTAACTTAAGAATATAAACCATCTTAACTTTTATTCAATATTTTCTAAATAATCGTCCTACAATAATCTTCCAAATAACTTTTATTTTAAACAATATTCAAAAAAATTTAATATATCTATTAATGCATAATATTATTCTATTCAAAATGAAAAAAAAGCTCAAAAACAATATCCATAATTTAACTTTCCTTTATTTTTTATTAAATGCTTTGAATTTGAATTTTTGTTATTTCAAGTAAAATATCTAAGCACGAAGAACGTAAAACCCCTAAAATTTTCCCAAAATTTTAATTCTATTATTATTAAAAACCCAAACAATCATTAGTATTCAGTAATAAAATATACTTTATATAAAGCATATTTTTCTCCAAATTTTAAATGAATGGAATATTCTAATATTAACCAATCGTTAAATCAATAAATTCTAGTTAATTATTAATCAATAGATTAGAAACATAACTATAATATTATCCCAAAGCACTTATCACTAAAGCTGAATTTTAATTTATAGGTAAAAACAAAGATTAAATATTGTCTTCTAAGCAAATATTTTCTAATAACTAATTCCCATTTTAAATTAAGTAAAAATTTTATATTATTTCTTATACGACTTTACACATACTTTTACTCTATTCAGTTTCTAAACTTATTTTTTATAAAAAATTACTTAAAAAAATATTTTTTTTCAATAATATTTCTTCGTTTTCTACATATCTAATTTAATTTTGATTTTCAATCAAAAATATTTACGAAATCACGTTTTCTAACACAAAATTATTTTTTTTTTTTTTTTTTTTTTTTACTATATTGATAAATTCTAAATATTTTAGTATAATAAATCTAATAAGTTATTATCAAATATATATTCAAATATCTCTTCTGGTCTTTATTTTATCAACGAAATTATTAGTATAGACCAATATCCTGCCAAAATATCATTTATAGGAATTTCTTAAGGATTAATAATAAAATTAAATATTTAATTTAAAATTTAATTTTTTTTTTTTTTTTCATCATCATCTTCACCAATATTTTATGTTGCTCTTTTATTAAAAATATAGTCCGTAATAAAAGGAATTTAACAATCGAATATTTCGCTTGAAACAAAAGGATATTTATAAGTTCTTTCATAATCAAAAATATTATCATTTTATATTGTTATATATTCAATTAACTTTTCTATTAATTTGTTTTCTTCAAAAATTTAAATATATTGTTCGGGATTTATTTTTAGTTAATTTATAAATTCTTCTGAGTTTTAAAAAAGTTAACTTAAAAGATATTCATTCGATATTTTTTATTGATTAAATTTTTCTAATAAATCTTAAACTATTTCTGACATTTTTTTAAAAAACAAAAAAATAAAATAAAAAACTTCAATAAAACTATATTGATAGATATCACATAAAAATAATTTACTTATTTTTAAATATAAATAATTATTTATGTTTGTTAAAAATTATTTACAAAAATTTAAGTTTTTTTTAAATAAATATTTAAAATTTTTATTAATCTTTTTAAAATAAATTGATATATGCTTTAATTTAAATTATAAATGCATTTAATTAAAAATAAATATTATTTGCATTTTTATAACTATCTTTTTTTAAAAAAATTATCTTAATTAATATATATGTTAAATATTATAATAATTTTGTTTGCTATTTAATATAATTAATATTTTTGTTTTATAATATTATAAATTTATAATTTTTATTGCATACATTATATAAAAATATAGTTTAGGCATTCATTATATAAAGTATTTTAAATTTATTTTTAAATATTTTTTTTTTAATCAATACTTTTTTTAAATATATTAATATCCAAAAAAATATAACTAATAAAAAATTAGACATAACAAAAAAAGAATAATAAGATTTTATATGAATAAACTACATAAAATATGAATTATTAATTTTTTATTTAATTTTGTTTTAATATAAGTAAAAATAAATATATAATTCAATTTATATTAATATCTTTACATTCATTATTTTTTAAATGATATTAATGTTCTTGCAAAGACCCTACCCATTAGCAATATTCTTTATTTTTACATTCGACTATAAGATCATTTATAATTTATTTTGCAAGTAAATCATCTTATATATATAGTAAATCAAAATGGCTATGGCATTTGGGGCATAAATATTGATTTATATTTTATTTTATTATTATACATTTTTCACATATTATAAATCTAATATTATATTATGAAAAAAGTATAATAAAATATGAATTTACCCACAACAAAAAAATCTTTTTGGATTTGTAAAAACTTTTTTGCAAACATCACATTTTAAATGAACTGAAATTTAATTTTCATTTATAAATTAATATAATTAATTATTATAAGTTTATGTCATTTTATATTATTATTTTGTAATTATAAAAATATTAAATAAAACTAAAAATTTTTTTTTTTTTTTTTTAATAAAAATATATTCTATTAATTTGATAATTATAAATTTATAAAAAAGTAATAATTATTTTTTTAATAGTTTATACTAGATATATTTAAAAAATATATAAAATAATAAAAATATAGTATTGTAAAATTAAAAAAATAATTGAAAATTAAAAACAAAAAAAAAATTTTTTTTAAAAAATTTAAATTAATATAAATGAATATGAATATATATATATATATATATATATATATATATATATTTATATAAATCATATTCTGAAAGGTTTTAATGAAGATCTTCTTACTTCGTCTACCTCTTATTATTTCGCTTTAACTCTATTTCTTAGAGATTAAATTTCTGCAAATAATTTAACCAGTAAATAATGTAAATCATCAATTTAGAATTTTTATTATCTCATATTATATACTTAATTTTTTAATTCTGAACTTTCTAATTCGGTATCTTCTACTAATAACGTCAGTCTATCTATTTCATCAATTAAATATACGTTTTTTTTTAAAAAAATTTAATAATCTTCATTCAACTATTTAAATCTAAATTCCTATTATTCAATTTACTAATCCCTTTTTAATAATAACTATTTAAACCTATCTATTTCACTAGTAAGTAAAGCCACTTTATTCTCTAATTCTTTTTATTATTCTATTATTTGTGCATAAACATCACATTTTTATGACATTTCTATATATTTTTATTCCATCAATCTTAATTGAACTTCTGTATTTCTCTAATTTTGCTCTATACTTGCATTTTTATTCGTTAGTTCTTCTATTTCTCTATCTCTTGTATCAACTAATTAATTTAATCTTTAAATTTCCTATATATAACCTACTACAATTTTAAAAAGTTATAAAAGAAATTAAAATTTTATTTTTTACTTTTTGAATTCTCCAAAGTATTACATCTATATGACATAGAAATTAATTTTTCTTCACTTTATTTATATTTATCTTACATTTAATAATATTCTATTGTGTTATTTTAAATTATTTTTTTCATCGTTTCTATTTCCTAAATAAGAATATTCAACTGTTAAGTTTTTTTGGTATTATCTTTTTAAATGGATTCACAATTTTATATTTTTATTTCTAATTATTGAATTACAATCAAATTTTATTCACATACACTTTTCCAATATTATATTTCTTCATCTTTAGCATTAAATATTTAGTGTATTGTATTAGTACTTTGTTTCCAATCTTTTTGCGAATTAGGATTTACTATTACTGATGTATCAATATTGCTTTTTTAAATTGTTGTTACTTTTGATACTGTTATGTTTTATTTTTAATCGTTATTATTCATTTTTTGTATTTTTAATTTTTAAATATTTTGCTCTTTTTTAAAATTATATATATATATATATATATATATATATATATATATAGTTTAATTAATTTATTTATTTATTTTATTAAATAATTTTGAGTTTTTTTTTTTTTCATTTATATTAAATTTAGAATAAAATTATTTATAATAATATTATTATATAAATATGTAAAAATTAAATAAATATCTATAATTCATTATATAGATATTATAGAGATAAATATATTGTTAATAAATATAATTAAAATAAAAATATTTTATATATTTTTTATATAATTATTGAATATTTTTTATGTTCTTGTTTCTTATCTTTTAATATTTTTTTTTTAAATATTATAATTATATTTTCTATTGACTATTGATAAATAAATTTAATGAATGTTTGAAAATAAAAATAAAACTATGTTAAAAAATCAAATAAGAAAAAATTATTTATTTATATATATTATTTTATTTAATAGGTTTTTGGTTATCATTATATAATAAATTAAAATAAAATATGTTTTTCATTAAATTAAAAATTAAAATAAAATAAATTAAATAAAAATTTACAGTACAATAAAGAAAATAAATAATTTTTTAAAATACATTATAAAAAAAATAAAATACCTCATATCATAAATACAAATCAATATTTGTTTCCTTGTCTTTATTAAATCCATTAATGATTATTAATTTACTACATATCTAATCTATCTTAAGGATTAGGTGCAATAAGTCCATTAATTAAATCTTTAAATGAATTCGAAGGTTCAATAGCGAATAAATTCCAGAATTTATTTTTACTTTTAACCAAATTAGAAAAAAAAAATCGCTTGTATCCGCTTTTGAAAAAGGTTATTTACAAAAAACCATAGTAAATAAAAGTACTCCCAAGCTAAAAATATCCGCTTTTTTTAAATCAATAATTTCATCATCTTATTGGCTTTGATTTTTTTTTTTTTTAATTACTTCAGGAGCTCTACACCCTGCTGTACCCGCAGAAGGGATAAAAGTGGACTCATTTACATTATTAAGGAATATAGCATTTGCAAAATCACATAATTATAATTCATCCTTGAAATTTACCAAAATATTTTCCAGTTTAATGTCTCTATGGACTATATTATTTGAATGCATAATATCTATTACTTATAATATTTGAACAAAATATTTATGCGCTTCATCTTCTGTTAGGCCATTTTTACTTGCTACTAAATTAAATAATGTACCATTTTCAGCATATTCTAATAGAATTGCTTATGTGGGTTTCTCATCTATATAACCTTTCACTTTTACAACATATTAAACATCTTTTAATAAATTTAAGGCCTTAAGTTCGGTATAGAAAGCAGCTTCTTTTTTGAATATTTTTATTGCGTTGTCTTTTGGAATACTGCATAAATGAACGTCGGCTGTCTCAGATGAGCTCAACATTTTTTAAAGCTCATACTATATTTTTTAAGAATTCATTATTTGTATTTAAAAATATGTAATTTAATCTATTTATATATATTAATTATAATATTTTAGATATAATTTAATTTACAAAGAAAAATATTATATAAAATTAATAATATAAATATAATTAAAAAAAAATATACTAAATTAAATATAGCAAATTATTTATATAAACATACTTAAAATAATTATAATATAAATTAAAAAAATGTAAAAAGAAGATACAAACTAAATAAAAATAAAAAAAACATAGATTTATAATAAAAGGTATATTAAATATTAAAAAATAAAAATTAAATTAATTAAAAATAATCTTTATTAAAATTTAAATATGTAAGCCAATAATTTAAATTATAAATATTTTTATTTATAATATCATTATATATAGATATATATATAATATAAATATATATAAATATATATTTATATTTTTATTTTTATTTTATTAATATTAATATAAATATAAATTTTATAAAAGAATATAATTATAGATTTTAATAAATATCTTCTATGCATTTAAAAAAATTATTTTATCTTATATAATTAAAAAATAATATTAAATTATATAAAATAAATATATTAACTTTGATTTTATTAAAAAATAATATTTAAAAATTTTATTTATATATATATAAATATTATATATAAAAAATATATTTAAATATAAAATATAAAAATTATTTATTTTAATATATTTAGTGTATTATTATAGTATTAATTTGATATTATGATAATAATTAAATGTATTATCAAATTAATAAATAAATTAATCCCTAATATAATAAATAATTTTTTTTTTTTTTTTTTAAATTTAAAATATAATTAAAATAAATAAATATATATAAGATTAAAACATCATTATGAAACAATTAAAATATTGTTTAAATTTTTATTTAAATTATATTTGAATTTTTTTTTATATATAAATTATAATTTCATAATATTATATAAAAAAAATTTTTAATACTATATGTTATAATTTAAAATATATTTTCAATAATAATTATAAATTAATTTTTTTTAAATTAGTCACTAATTAAATATAATAAATATATAAAACTTTAATATTATTTAATTTTTGAAATTAATTAAAATATAATTTCTTTTTTCTTTTTATTTTCTTATTATATTATTTAATATAATTTTATAATACTTTTATTTTATTATTAATGAAATTAAATTCATTTTTTAAAATATTTTTTAAAATAATGTTTAAAAATAATATGCTACTATTATGAACTGTTAAAACATAATGATCAAAAAAATATATATTTATTAAAATATATTATTTAAAAAAATTAAAAAATAAAAAGATATTAAAATAAATACATTTTTTATTAATTATATAAAATATATAAAAAATTAAATAAAGTAAGTAAAAAAATAAATTATTATGATTTTTTTTTAATTTTGTTTTATAAACCTGATTTTTTTTTATAAAATAATTAAGATGATTATATAATATGTTGTGTTATTTTTATTAATTTCTAAAAAATTTAAATATCTATTTCATATTATTAATTTTTATTAGTATAAAATATTTTAATAAAATTAAATTTAATAATTTTTATTTTATTTTATAAAATAATATGTCATGATAAAACAATTAATTTTTTAAAAAAATCATTTATAATAAATAAAACTAATTTTAATTTTACTTTATCAAAAAATCATGTATTTTTTTTAATATAAATTAAAATAATTAAAAATAAATTATACTATACTAAATATTACAATTTTTTAATTCAACATGGAAATAATTATAATATAATTTAATGTCTTTAATTAATTTTTTTTACGTGTATATATAATAAAACTCAAAATCTTTTAATTGCTTCTCCTGAATTCAATTTTTTAATACCTTGAATAACTCTTTTTACATATTAGTACCTAATAGTTTCTGAATAATTTTCATTTTAAATATTATTAATTATCGTATTATAAATAACATTAAAAATATATTATTTAAGGATATTACAGTATTTTATTTCTTCATACGCAGAATTTTAATTCGGAAAAATGTTCATTATAATTTTGTGCATTTCAGAATATTTTATATTTTTTTCGAGATAATTCAAATTAGATTCTTTAATCTAAAGAAAAAGCACATTATAGTGATAATGATTATAAAAAAACGTCTTACTTTTTCCTTAATTATATTTCTTAAAAGCTTCAGTTTTTGCATTTTTTACAATTAATATTATTTAATCTTATATAATAGACGGTATACCAAAAGACTCAAGATTTTCTTAAGAAAGCATTTTAATAATGTTGTGCATGAACATTCTATTTAAATTATGGAATTTCGAAACACTATTGTTTTTTACTATTTGATTATTCAAATTTTTATGATTTTTATGAAAAATAAATGATTTTATATAGTTTTTAACAGGTTATCGTTGTTTTAGTTCATTCTATATATATTCAATTAATTTATAATTCATTATTTTAGACTATTATAATATGTTTTGTATGATTTCTAAAGTTTATCCTGATTATTTAAATTAAGTTTGTTAGTCTTCTAATGTTGTGTTTTGTTTGTTAAATATAAAAATAGAATTATATTAAAAAAAATTCTGTCTTTATTCAAGATGTCTAATTTCTTTTACGAGTTAGATATGCTAATATTTAGATTTAAATCCTCTTTTATACTTTAGACGATATTTAGCATATTTTATTTTATCTTTTCCTATTGTAAAGACAATTTAAACTTTTCGATATTTCTTCTAAATAGGCTATTTAAATAAAATAAAAAAATAAAATAAAGTAATATAAATATTACTTTATAATTAGCAGTTTTTAAACATTTTATTTAGACTTTTTATAATTATACATTCTATTATATAATGTATTTATCAGAAGATTATTTTTAAATTTCTTTCATTATTTATTTTTTTAAACAATATTAATATTATCAAATTGAAAATAATAAAAAATATTTTATAACTATAAATAAAGTAAAAATATTAATAATTATCTATTATATATTTATATTAATTATTTTTATTTTATTTTTTATTTTTAATAAAACGTTTAAAAATAAATTGAAATTATTAATATTTCCAATAAAATTTTAATTGTCAAAACATATTGCGAATATAATAAAAAGATAAAATAAAAATTTAAAAATTTGAAATTATTTTAAATAATAAATTAAATTTCTAAAAGAAAGATTTAAAAAAAAAAATCTTTTAACTTATATAAATATAAAATAAATTTAAATTTTATAAATAAAATCATAAAATCTTATTTTTATATATTTTGGATATTCTATTTTTCTAACATGAAAAAAATTCAATCACTTACAACTTAAATTAATATAGACTATATACACAATAAAAAAAAAGTAAAGCAAATATTAAATTAAAAAAATAGAAATTTTAAAAAATAAAGCTAAATTTATTTTATAAATTATAATTTATAATTAATTTTATTTTTATTAAATAGTTTCATATTTACAAAAAATATTATTTTTTAAAAATTTTATTATTAATTTATCCAATTTTGATAAATTATATTCATAAATAATAATTAATTATTATTTTCTATAAATTTTCTTATATTTTTTTTAACTAAAATTTCTATTATGTATTGTAAAATTTTTTAAAAAAATCAAAATAAATACTATTTAAAGAAAAACTAAAAAATAAAGTTAATTATATTAATTTTTTTTTTTTTTATTAATATATTATTTTATATTTGTAGTTTTTTTTTTTTTTTCAAATATCTTTCAATGCAATTTAAGCTACAGCCACAGTTATATCATCTTCCTTTCCTCCATAAAAGAAACGTTTTGATGCTCTAGCTTTTTAAGCAAAAGGAGAATCATAACTTTTAGATAATGATTTTTCTTAAGCTTCATCTGCAATATCTGAAGATAATTTTTAAACATTAACAATGTTCTTTTTATTTTTTAACACTGCCTATTAAATTTATTTTTAAATTTAAGTATTATCTAAATTATCAAAAAGACCATCTGAACCTACAATCAAAACATCATTATTTTTGATTTTGTGTTCAAACTTTAATGCAGTTTAAGGTTTATCTCCATGATCTTTTCCTCCAATCTTTATAAAAATATAAAATTTAGAAGTTAAAAAACTTACCTAATAAGGAAAATTAAAAGACTTTTATTATTCAGTAAACATATGTTCTAACTTAATATTTCCTTTTTCGTCGAATCTATATAAACAATATCCTGAGTCTCCAATATAAGTAGTATTTAATATATCTTTATTTTAATCTAATGTGCACATTACTAGAGTACTTTTTATTAAACCAAAACATTTCGTTTTTTTTTTTTTTTTTTTTTCATATAACCTTGAACCTAATATATTTGTTTTTTAAGCTGAATCTATGAGTAATTCTTTTGGATTTTATATATATTTAGTCTTGTTTGTGTTATATATTTCTCTTAAACTAAATTATATTTAGAATTATATATTAATATATATAAATTTGAACTTCTTTATTAATAAGTTGCTATATTCTGCAGGATCAACTCCATTATCCGCCCATCCACCTACTCCATCTGCAACAGCAATTAAACTTTATTATATAAAAAATTGAATATTTTCAAATATTTTTTATAATTATATAATAATAAACTTTTGCTCAGCATAATTTGCATCTTCTCCTCCTTTTTACAATTTTAGCCTATGTGGCCTAACAGATACACTTATTATTTTTATTTTTAAGAAAATTTAATTATAAATTAATCAATTAATTAATAACCTGTATAAAAATTAATTAACATTTTTTATTGAATCCTATGTTGAATCTAACGATTATGAACTCTTATTATCAGATGAACTATAATCTTATTTAGTATACTTATTGCTTTTTTATTATGTTTATTAATAATAATAATATCCTAATCCTCCTGTTGATAAGCCTAAAAAAACGAATTTCGAATGTCCTAAATTAATTAAATAGATTTAAAATGTAGTTTATATATTAAATTGCCTTTAAAAATAGATAATTTCATTAATTTTTTATTTTTAAAAATATAATGGATTATTAGTATTGAATTTACTAAATATTTTCAGAATATTTTATTTGTAATAAATTAAATTATAAAACTATATAAAAAATATTATAAAAAATAAGAATTTTTGAAAGAAAAATAAAGATATTTGCATATATTTTTTTTTTGTGAAATAAATTATTTTTAATTTTAATAAAATGTTTCGTAAATCTTTTTCTTTATTTTCAAGTAGTTTTTAAAAAAGCATAAAAATAAGCACATTTATATTTACTTATTATTTATTTACAAAATACAAAAAAATTAAACATAAAACTTAAGCATTTAAAAAGAGCAACCCCTAAACAAAGAAAGATATGACTAAACCTTAATTGGTAAATACCAATTGATAGATTTATTTATAAAATAAAATACAGAGAATTTTATAATTTTATCATTTTAATAAAACGATTAAATAAATGCAATAAATTCAATAAAAATATCCCAATATTTACTTGATTTATTTGCAAAGAATAATTTATAAATAAAAGTATACAGAATTTCGCATTATGATTTAAGTGAATCAATAAAATTAATAAATAGAATTAAAGAATAGGAAATATTTTAACAGGATTTTAGTAATTTTAATAACATAGAAATCTTTGTAAAAGTAAATTTTGCCTAAGATTTAGTTAATATAACATGGAAAGAAAAATATTTTCAATAAAATCAAAAATTTTTGAAAAAAATAAAAAGATATTATAAAATGCTTGATATTTTTTAAAATACTAATGAAGAAAAAATTCTACATGAACAAGAAAGAAATTTATCAAATTTATTAATAAAACATTATTTTAAAATGAATCAGCCTTTACTTATTAAATGTACTAAAAAAGCACTAAATAATCCTTCTTAATTATAATTATATTAACAACAATAAGATGATTTATAAACATTTATTGATAATTCATTTTAATGTTTAAGAAAAAAAATATTACCTTCTAAGACTAAAATAATAATATTAGATAATAAACATATTATGAAAAAACTTAATTTAGTTCCTGGATAGATATATATGCTAAGGAACGATTTTTCTTAAAAATTAAAAAATTGTGAAATAATTGAAATTGAAAATAATAAAAAAAGACTTCTTATAAGAGATGATTTATTAAAGATTAATTAAGAGAATTATAAAAATAATTATAATTTATTTTTTCAATTTTTTTCTTCTCAATTTGAAATTTATGAAGCATTTAAAAATAATCCGAATAAATAATTAAAAGAAAACATTTAAAAATTTGATTTTGAATAATTAGACGACTTTACAAAATTTGTTTTGCCCAATATAATTTATATAAATAATAAAAAAAAACTGATTTAATTTAGTTTTTCGAAAAAAGTAAATTGCTTAAAAAATAATATGTTTTTGCCTTAAATATGTAATAATAAGATAAGAATAATCATTAAAGAATTATTAATTTTAAGAAAATATATGAATAATATCATTAATAATTCATATTCTTAATTTTAGATAGTGATTAATATTAAACATTATTTCCCCATATGTAAAATCATATTCCTCCTTTTTCTATGTTTAATCTATTTAATGTTGATAAGTCTAACTATATAATTGAATTTTCAAATTTTTAATTCCTATATCCTTTTGAGAAATATATTTTGGAAGATAAATAGGAGGATATTTAGTTATTAATTTAAGAAATATAAAAAGTTTTAAATAAGGAAAAAGAAAATTATTATACTTAACAAAATGATACAATTTCTTAAAATATAAATAGTACTATTCTTTAAGAATTAATAAGTAATCGGAAAAATGAACCTTTTCTTTTACAATTAATAGGAAAAAATTCAGATTTAAGTAAGAATAATGAAAAAATTTTAAATGAATTTTATTTTGAGAAATATGCTTCTAAAGAAAAGAACATACTTAATCGTTTTAAAATAAAAACAAAAATTAACATTAATTATTGAATTAATATTAAAATTCTTAAAATTAATTTTAATTTAATTTATGCATTTAACCTTAAAACATGTAAATTTTAATCTAAAAGTTGCATTAAGAATCAAATAAAGAAAAAATTTACAAAAAATATAAAAATTTATCTAAGTTTGTTAATAAGGAAATATAATTGAGTCTAGAAATATACTTAATTCTTAAAAAAAACAACAAACTCAAAGTGATTTAAAATAAACATTATAATAATAGATTAAATAAATAGAACAATATAATAATTAGGCCTAATAATTAGATAGATAATTATAATAATAAGATATCTAAATTTAATCATTAGAAAATATATTGTAATAATTTCCTAAACAAAATTATTAATTTGATGACACATAATAATATAATAGCTAAGAAACATTGTAAGAAGATTAAATAAATGATTAATATTTAAGAAAAGATGAACTTAATAATAGTAAAGAAATTAAGTAATAGTAATAGAGAAATGAAGAATATATCTTATAAAAAAAATAAGTAGATCAATAACAAAGTATTGAAAAAATGAATGATTATATTAATGAAAAAGTAGAACAATAATAATTAGAAGTTAATAAAATAACAATAAATAAAGAAAAATTATATTAACTTGAAAAATTAAAGAATTAAAAGTAATTATAAGAAAAAATAAAAACTAAATATAATGATAATGATAATGATAATGATAATGATAATGATAATGATAATGATAATGATAATGATAATGATAATGATAATGATAATGATAATGATAATGATAATGATAATAAATTGACTGAATAACAATTAGAAGAATAATAAATTTAGTCAACTCCATAATTATAAATAATTTTCTATTAGCAAGAACATAAATTATAATAATAATAATAAGAAGATGAGAAAAACAATTAGAATAATATTAATGACATAAATGAATAGGAAAATTAATAAAGTGAAAATAATTTACAATAAAAAATTAGAATTAAAAAAATGAATATTAGATAAAAATTTAAATTAGAAAGTTTAAGATTATAAATATAGTGATAATTAAATAAGTAATAATAAAATAAATGTATTGAATATATATAAAAAAATATATAATTATTATTAAATTATTAAATATAAAATAAATAAATTATAGATAATATATATATTAATATTTATATATAATTTATAAATATTATTAATAATAATTCAATAGAAATAACTTATTTTAAATACTTAATCTTATAACTATTATATATATAAATATAAATATAAATATAAATATAAATATAAATATAATATAAATATAAATATATATTATTTATCTAATTCACAAAAAAATTATTAATATTGAAATTATATATTGAGACAATAAATAATATTAATATTTTATTTCTAAAAATATATTTGTCTTCTAATATATTTATTTTTAATAAATTATATCATTAACATAATTTTATATATATAAATTATGATAACATTTTTTTTAATTTATAATATATATTGGTAATAATGGTTTTAATAATTTATAGTCATCAAAAAAATAAAGAAATTTTTTTAATTTGTTACATATTTTATTATTATAGTATATTTTAAGATTTATAAATATGATTACCATGAATATTTTTATTTTATCAAAAAAATATAAAAATAATATTTATTAATAGATAATTATATTTTTTAAGGTAATTAAATAAAAGTAAATAATTAGAATAATGTTACAATTATAATTTATTAAACACAAAATAATTTTTTTTTGAAATAAATAAAATTAAATAATATAAAAAAATTATTTAAATATTTTTTAAAAGATATATATGTATATTAAATAATTATATATAAATATATTTATTATTTATTATATTTATAGTAATAATGCTTTTGTCATTAACACTAATTTAAATATCTAGTTGAAATGCATTAATAAATATTCTTAAAAAAAATGCAATATTTATTGTATATAAATAAAAAAGAATACTAAAAATTAATAAATATACATAAATGGTATATAATTAATTTTTTTTATTAAAAAAATGTAATCTTAATAATTTTTAAATATAAATTCTTTTAACTTTTTTGAAATAAAATAAAATAATATTCTTAGTCTTGTTTATAAAATAAAATTTTTTGCAAAAATTATGAAAATATTTTAAAATTTAAAAAATTATATAAAATAGTTAATATATAATAATAATAATATAGAAATAAAATAATATACTAAAAATAAATTAAATAAGTAATTTATACTATTTTTAATATATTTTAATTATTTGTGTTTTTTTAAATTAATGAGATAAATTATTATAATGCGTTTAAAATAAAATAAAATAAAAAAATATATTTATACTTAAATAACTTTAAATATTTCATTATATATGTAAAGTATATGGAATAAAATAATTTTGCTAATAATTTATATTAGAATTTATTTTAATAATCTTTTATTATTATTTCTTATATGGATAATTAAAAATATTTTCTTAAAAATTATTTTTTTTGATATTATTTTTGTTGTAATTTATAAAATAAATTATATCATTATTAATTTATTTAAATCTCTTATCATTTATATATATGTTTTTAATTCTTATACAATTTTTTTTTTAACTTACTTTAATATAAATAATTATTTTTAATAATATAATTTATTTTAATATATAACTATTTTAAAAAAAAGAATTTATTTTTTTAATTAAAAATAGCATTTATTGCGAATTATTATCATTTAAAATTTTATAATTTTTCTTATTTATTAATATAAAAAATAAATTGATTTCATAATTTTATTAGGAATTAAAATAAAATGCTTAATTCTAATTTATTACCTCCTTCATTTACTAATATTATTAACTCATAAACATATGAATTTTAAAAATTCAGATAAAACTTTTAACAACATGAAAAAAATGATGGTGATGATAAAAACTTTGAAGACGAAAGTAATTATATAATAAATTAAATTGATAAATTGAGTAATAGATAAATATTTGATTAAAATAATTAATAGGATATACCTTAAATATAAAATGATATAAAATAATAAAAATTGAATTTAGAAAAGAATTTGTTAATAAATAAAACTTTAAAATTATTTTAAAATACTAGAAAAAATATATTTACTTTAGAAGACAAATTGCAAATTTAAAAAATATAAAATTAAAAGTTAGTTTCTTCTTAAGATTTATATGGCAAAGATAAAAATAAAACACCTTTAATTTAATAAGTTTTTTTCACAATATTTTAATAAATAAAATAAAAAAATATTAAATAGCATATATTATGCTTTAAAAACGCTTTATTATAGAAGAATTAAATTAATAAAATTTAAAGTTTAACAAAGTAAGATTTCGAAGTAATAGATGACTTATGTTATTTTCCAAATTATTAAAATAATAAAATAACTCAAAATTAAAAATATTTTAATTATTTACTAAATTACATAAATGTTTTTAATAAAATAAATACTTTTCTTCCAACAGATAAATTTATAATTTTTTGGAATATTTTTTATATAGGAACCACATTTAATTTCCTATATATTTTTTCTATTTATGTTTATTTTTATGAATAAGATGAATATTAAATATAAGTATTTATACATTAACCTTTTATTTTTATTTTAATTGTTTTTATTATTGATATGATGATTTAGTTTAACACAGCTTTTTTTAAATAAGATATAATTGTAAAAAATAGATAATAAATATCTATTAGATATATAAAATCCTATTTTTTAATAGATATAGTTGCAATATTTTATTTAATACTTCATTTATTCAACAATAAGTCTATTAAAGATAGTGGTTATCAGATTTACGAATAATATTTAAATAACTTGATTTGGATTAAGATTGTAGGATTATCTTAAAGAAAAAAAAGCGTTTTAAATTTAATTACATTTAATGATATGTAAAGACATTTAGTCAAATTAATCGAATAAATTTTATTTGTTATAATAACAGCTCATATAGGTTTATTATTTATTAAAAATAAAATTTATAATTTTTTTTTAAAATAGTATGCATAATTTGGAAAGAAATTGGTATTTATGGTAAAACTTAAGGCTTTTCAAATAATTGGATTTCTAAATATAAAATAGACTCTGAAAAAGGATATAAATTATATATATATTCTCTTTATTGGTCTGTAACAACAATGACAACAAGTACAAATAGTTTTTTAAAAATTAATTTTAAATATTTTTAAAATATAGATTCTTTGTATATTTAAAAAATAAATATATTCAAAAAAAAAATACTATATATTTATTTTATAAAAAAAGTTGGTTATGGGGATATTGTTCCATCTAATATGTATGAAGCTTTATTTGTGACTATTAATATGATTGTTATGAGTTGTTGTTTTGCATACTCTATAAATAATATAGGCAGTATACTAAAAGAAATAGAAAAAGAACAAGAATAATTAAATAATAATATAATTACAATACAAAGGTATTTATTATATATATAAAATTGTAATTTTTTTCAAATATATAGATATTTGGATAGAAAAAATACGAATTTTGAATTAAAAAGTAGAGTGAGAAATTATTTATATTTTTTAAGTTCAGAATAAAAAAATAGAGATTAAAACGAAGAGGAAAAAGTACTAAATAAAATATCAAACAAACTTCGAGATGAAATAACATTAGAAATAAATTCTAAAATTTTATCTAATTAAAAAATAATTAGTTAAATGTTTTCTTAAAAAACTTTAAATAAAATAATCTATGCGATGAAAGAAGTTCTTATTTCTCCAAATGAAATAATTTTTAAAAATGATGAAGTTGATGATTAATCCATATATTTTATTGAAAGTGGGATTGTAGAAATTTTTTATTTATAAATTAATAAAAGCAAAAGCATTATTCATTAACTAGGAAAAAATTAAATGTTTGGCGAATTATCTTTTTTTTCAGGTTTAGCTAGAAAAGCATCTGCTAGAAGTGTAAATTTATCAACTCTTTATAAGATTTCAAGAAGAGATTTTATAGATATAATAAAAGATAATTAGGAAGATTTCGAAAAATTTTAAATGATAAAAGAAAAAATTATTTTTTAGCAAAATTATTAACCAATAACTACTAATTGCTACTTTTGCAATTCTAGATCTCATTTAGCTTAAAATTGTTATAAATTGCATTATTCATTTGATAAATAATTCATTATTCTTAAAAATAATTATTATGAATCTTAAACTAGGTTAAAATAGGTAAAAAGACGGAACAAGTTTTTAAAAAAAGCAATGTAATTAATTTATTATTTATATTCAAAAAAAAAAATATAAAAATTATTAAAATAAAAACTAGAATTTTAGCACACAATAATAAATTTATTTGTATAAAATTTAAATTCTTACACCGTAATTAAAATTTATAAAAATTCTTAAAAGATAATTATTCTGAACTTTCTTATTCTTCTACTTATACTTCCGAATCATAAAATTAAATATCAAATCAAAATAATGAGAGCTAAATTGAAAATAACGAGAAAAGTGATTAATATAATAATGAATATTGTAGTATGATTGAAAACTAAATAAATCATTTTGATAACCAACAAAATTTTTCAATTTTTATAGATGATTAAGAAAACGAAAATGTAAGAAAAAGCATAAAATTTATTAAAATTTAAAATCCTGAAATAAGTAATAGAAAGTCAAGTTAATAATTATAACACGCTATTTTATAAAATTTAAAAGAATTAAATATTTAATAAACAAGAAAAATAGATAAAAATATGTAGGTTGATAACAAGAAAATTTTATAAAAAATGAAAGAAAATGAATTAAACTTAGATTAAAAGTTATAAAAAAAAGCAAGTTTTAATTAAAGTAATTCATTTATATGTAAATAAAAAGATATAAACATGGATAAAATTTACTCTTAGACATTAGAAAAAAACTTAATGAGTCTTATTAATTAAATTTCTATTAATAATTATTAAACTAAATCTTATACAAGTGATTATTTTAGTGATATTAATTATGAATAATATTTTGATGAATTTAAAATCTTTAAATATTTTCTGCCACATAATAATATTAATAAAGTTATTTAGAATATTAAGTTATATCAAACTAGATTGAGGAAAAATTAAAGAAAACAAGTCCTAGCCAATTTTAGAAAAAATTAACACAAAAATAAAAGATTTGATTCAAATAATTATAATGATAATTGTCTATCTAAAATCACTTAAATTTCTTATGGGATTGGATTTAAAAAATCATAAATTAGTACTCCTAAGAAACATTAGCCGAATTTCGATTGATTTTTTTTTTAATTTGTATTAAATAATTTTATTTTAAAAAGAATTTATTATAATATATATTAAAGTAGTATATTGTTTAATTAAAAAAAAATATTTAATATAATTTTTAAACTTAAAATATTATTAAATTTTAAATAAATTTTAGTATTAATTATATATTATAAAAAAAATTATAAATAATAATAAAATATAAATATATTTAATTATATATTATATAAAATTAATATAAATTAAAAAAAAATATATATAAAAATATATTATACAATTAAATTTATTTATTTATATTATTATTATAAATTATATTAATTTAAATTTATAAATTAATGATAAAAAAATTAAAATTTAATTTTAAAAATGAAATGTATTAAAAAAAAAAAAAAAAATTTAATTTATTTTAGAAAATAAGAATTTTTTTTTTTTAAATATATATTAAAATAATATTTTTATTTAAATTATATAAAAAAAAGGATATAAAAATAGTAATTTTAGATTAATTCTTTTATTAAAAAATATAATTATAATATATATATAAATATATATATATATATATATATTTATCTTTATAAATATAATTTATATATATATTATAATAAAATTGCAAATAAAATAATTATTATAATAAATATTAAAAATAAAAAATGAATAAACCAATTATTATAGCTTCTATAGCTTTACTTTTAACATTTGGATCATTATATCTTAAAAATAATGGCACCTTTTAATTTAAAAAGACATCAACTAGAACACTTTTCGAATGGGCAAGTTGCTAAGCCTAATCTAAACCTTCATAATGTGAATATGATCCCAATAAAAGCGACATTGCAAGCTGTGATGATGTTGCAATATAAACAGGAAATTGCATTACTCCTTTATCAGGTTCTATTGATACTGCATGTTAAACCTGGTGGACTTATCATGACAGTGCAAAAGCTTCTGACAAATTACCTGATTCTTATACTCAATGCGTATAAAATTGTTCTAAATTTGCTGAAAAAAATACTTTCTTTTTTGAAAATTATTTCAAAAAATTATGGGTTGATTGCTAATGATTATAAATTTAATATTATTTTATATAATATATATTATTATAATTATTATTATATATATTATAAATAACATAAATTCATTATATTTAATATTATTTATAATATATATAAAAAAATAAATATACTAATATTATTTTCTGTATATAAACTTATAAATTATAATTCTTATTAGACTTTATTTATTACATTTTAATATAATCTTTTAAATAAAATGCTAATACATTATAATATAATATTTTTTTAATTGCATTTTAATTAAAATTAAAAAAGTTTTGACATTTTTTTACATTTTTATTTTATATATAAAGTTAAAAAAAATTATTTTAAATTTGACCTAAAAACAAAATTATTTAAGATATATTAAAAATAATAATATTAATATTAATTTTCTTATTTTATAAATTATTAATTAGGTATTTAAATTTTATTTTATGTAAAAAAGTATAAAATATTAAATTAAGTAATAATTAAAATAAAATAAAATTATTTAAATGTTTTTAATATTGAATCAATTTAAAAAAAAAAATTAATTCAATAAAAAAATCAAAATATTAATGTTATCTTAATTATAATTAAATATTTATATATGCTTTTTTTCTTTAAAAAAAATATTAAAAATTATAATTGAAATATATATCTTTTATAAAAACAATATTATTAAATATATTATTAATTTTATAAAAAATAATTAAAATAAAAATAATGGACTGTGTTATTACTAATGATAATAAAGATAAAATAAATATCAAGTTTATTCTTTATTTTATTGTTTTAAACATTTTATTAACTAATTTGTTTTAATTTTAAAAATAATGTATGTAAATATTATTTTATAATATAGTTATATATTATACATTATTTATGATGAAATTATATTTTAGAATCAAATTATTCGATATCTTTTTTTTTATTATTTTTTTAATATTATACAAACAATTACAATATTATATTTTGATAACAAAAAAACCTTTATAAAATTTAAATTTTAACACATTGTTTAAATAAATTTATTAATTTAACCATTTTAATTTTATATACAAATTCTAATAAAAATAATACAGTTTAATGATAAAAATTCAAAACCTAAAAATATAAAATACTTATAATAATAATTAAATTTAATGTTAATATTTTTTATAAAAATCTGTAAATAACTAATAATTAAAAATTCTTAATTTCATATTATAATAAAATTTGATTTACATATATTATAATTAATCATATAAATAATATTTTATTTTATTTCAAATAAAAAAATTATAATTATAATTTTTTTTTTTATAAAATAAATTTTCATTTATATCAACTTTTTAAAATAAAATAAAATAAATAATCAAAAACACAATTAAAATTAAAAAGCAAAACAATTCGATATATATTAAAAATAAAATTAAATAAAAACTATACATATGTAAAAAACTGAATAAAGAAGTTTCAAGATTGTTAATTTTTTCTTTTATATTTACGAATAACTCTAACAACATGTTCATCCCCAACCTTGACGCGTTAAATACTAAGTAAGCTTTTAAGGAATTCTTATTTTTCATTATTTAATTAAGACACAAGTTATTATAAGGCCGCCTAATTTTTTTATTTCATTATTAATATTTAACTTTTAAAGAAATTAAATTCATCTTCATGAACAACAGAAGATATTAAATCTTTAAGCATGACTTTATCTTAACTCTTTTTTTAAAAAAAAAAATATATAAAAAATATTAAAAATATTTAAATTACCACTGAACTATCATATTCTTAATTATTTTCCTCTTTTTTAACATCTTTATGGTATTCTTCATCTTCTTCATCATCCCCGTCATTATCGAATTCATCTTCATCGTCATCTTCATCATCTTCGTCTTCATCATCTTAGTCATCAAAATCATCACATTCATCATGTCCATCATTGTTTTTCCTTTTTTATTAAGTTTTTAATTCCTCATTTTTTTATTTATGTAATAAAGTAATTAAACAATCAAGAATTTTAACGATTTTAATATTTTCTACATTTATTTGCTCAATAACTTTACTCATACTTATAATAAAAATCTAAAAAATTATAAATATAAATACATTTAAAAAATAAAAAAATACTTTAATATCATAACCTCTTTTATAATACTCCAACTTAGAAACCAGTAAATCAATAACTTAATTAAAGATTCCCATATTAACTAAAACATTATGACACATATGTACATTTGAAACAAATCCAGACAAAAAGATTCCTGCAGTTCTTCCATAAACAAAAAAGTGTTTAAACTTTTCAGTACCTTAAAAGAATCTCACAGCATTCTCAAAAACGACTTTCCATATTTATTCAGGTAATCTATCACCCAAATTTTGCATTAAGATTTATAATAAAGTCGCCCCTTCAGCCTTATCAGCATCATTAGATTTATTGCTTTGAGAAAAAAGGGCTTTAAAGCACATTTCCACAACTACTTATAGAGTATTAATATTCTAAAGTAAATAGTCTTTTCCATATACAATCAAATTATTTAAAGTAAAAAATAACTATCCAAATACTCTTTATTGTTTCTCGAATATTTTAGGGAAAAAATTTGCTAATTCTCCACAAATAGGGTGAACACTTTTCTAATGTTTAATAAAAGACCCAACCAAAAGTACTATATCCTCATCGAAATCTATTTTTTCTGGATATTATACATATTAAAGTAAAGGTTTTAATTCATGTAACATAGAATCAATATATTGAGGAATTATTTTTGGGTTTTCAGACATATGACGGATTATATTCCAGGATTTATTAATGAATAAGTAATCTTTATTTTTTTTATTTTCATAAGCTTAAGTTTCAATCAAAACTCTTTCGGTGAGTTCTCTTACACATTAAATTATATTTTATTAAGTTAATAAATCAGAATGGTGTTTTACTATATGGAAAATAATTTCTAGAAATTAATTAAATTAGCAGATTTTTATTAAAGGTAGAATTGTTGAAAAAACTTCTTTTATATTTTGTTTGACTTTATTTGCTTGACCGTCATCATCGTATATATTTTATAAAGAATCAATCGCTTAAAATACTATTGCTCGATTCTCTTCACCTTATTGGGATAAACAAGTTATTAAAAAGTTCAACATTTATAGATAATATTATGAATCTGTGTCAGCTTAGAATATTGTATCAGCATAATAGCCTAACATTAGACAAACTCTAGCTTTGATAATGGCTAATTTTTTTTTAAAAAAAAACATGATAATAATATCATAGATATTAATAATTTTTTACGATTTAAATCTTTATTAAAGAAAAAATTAATTTAATTTTTAATCAAAAGTTCAATCTAGGCTACAATATCTAATCTTTTGGGAGTCAAGTAAGACAAAACAGAAAGTCCAATCAAGCAAGTTTCAATTCTTTTCTCCCTAGGACACTTACTAAGGAATACTGTACTTTTGAAAATAGAAAGCGAAGGGAATTAACTATCCATGCTTTCTAAATTTTCACAACTAATACTCGCACTCATAATCTATAACAAAAGTAAAGAAACAATAGTTTCAAATCCATCAATATAATCACAAATAGTCTCTAATAATTTAGCTGAAGCGCATTTATATGTATAAGATAATTACCTATCACATGTATCTAATGAAAATCTAACAAATTCTTCTGGATTAGTCAAAAAGGTGTCTTATTCAGCTTAAGAAGTACACATGAGTGGGAAAATAACTTCAAGTAATAATATACGCGCTGATTCTTAAAATAATTGATAGAATTCACTCTATTCGCAGCAATGAGAACATAATTTTAAGCATTCGATTATTAAAGAAGAAGTGTTTATATTTTCCAAAGTTTAATCTATTTATCTAGTTTATTGACAGAAAATGATCAAACCTTTAATTATTATAGGTAATATTTAATTTGATAGTATTAAAAATTAAGATTTAGCTATAAGTTCTCCATATTTACTTCTTTCACCTAATATTTATTTTATTACTCGAGAAAAAGTTTTCACTAAGGTAGTCTTAAATTCATTCATATTATCATCAAAAGCTAACATTGAAGAAGTGGAAATCAAACAGTCTTTTATTTATTCAGGAGTATTTAAAGATAAACATATTCCATGACAAATCATATTCGCTAAAATATCATTTTGGATTATTTATTTAATCATGTCATGTTTTTTGGCATCCATTATTTTATGAATTAATTCATGTAGTAAGTTTGACCATTACAAAAGGACTGTAAGCGTGTTTATAGATTATAATAATTGCTCTTAAGAACTTTATTAATTGTTAAAAGCTTAGATAGAATTACTTATTTCAGTTAATTGTTTAGTACCAACTTAGCAAAAAGGAGCCATTATATTAGTAAAAAAAGGAGCTAAAAGATCAACGTTAGAACATGTGCCGATTATACTTTGTAATATTATAAATGTTGATGCTAATTAGGACTATATTTTAAAAAAATATGTTAGTAATTATAAATTATTTTACTTAATTATCTTGTTGCATCCAAGTAACAGATAAAACAAATAAGGAATTTTTTAATTCATTTTCTAATATAAAAAATAAAAAAAAATTATAATAAAAAAATAAAATATATAATAAATTGTATTATTTTATATAATATATAAATATAGATAAAAAAATTATATTAAAAAATAAATATAAAATTATATGACTATATACAAAATAATTAAAATTTACGAGAAATTTATATAATTAATATAAATAAATATATATATAAATAAAAATATATATATATATATATATTTAATTTTTGTTTAAATATTTATTTTAATATATTTATTTATATATTTTTATATTTATTTTCAACATATATTATCTTTTTTTATTTATTACTTATATCAAAGCATATTAGATTAGCTAATCCCTTTGCAATAATTTACTTTGATGTAATAGATAAAGATGTCTCTCTTATTGTTAGCACAAGTTTTTCTGCAGTTTAATTAAGTATTTATGTATCAAATTATTTTTAATTTACTAATTATCTAACATAATGTTATATATAATTTGATGTAGCTTATTCTAATTATTCTTTTTTTTTTATATATAAAAAATAATTATTATAATTTTTATTTATTATAATATACTATTTTAATTATTTTCTTTTATAATTTGTATAAGATAATTTAAAAAAGTAGTATTATTTGATGCTGATTTAAGTTGTTCTTCAGCTAATTTAATTTCTTCTGTTGAGCTACCAGAATAAGTTGTTATTAATAATTTTTTTAGTAATTCTAATTCTATTTCCATTTTTTTTTTTTTTTTTTTTTTTTAGTTTATTTGTTTTTAGATTTTTTTTTTAAGAGTATCTATTTAATAAATTATTTATATTATTAAGCAAGAAATAAAATTATAAATAAATTACACATATTTATTTTTAATAAAATGCTAAAAATTTATAATATAAAATTAAATTTAATTATATATATTATAATTTTATTCTTTTTTTAATTTATTATTAGATAAAAACTAAATTAATTTATTCTTAAAAATTTGTATTTATTAATTTTATTTTATGTATTTTTAATAATAATAATATATAAATAATAACAATTAATAATAAAAACATAATATATATATATATATATATATATATATAATATACTAATAAATATTATGTTTTTTTATTTTAAATAAAATATTATAAAATAAATTATAATAATTAAATTATAATAACATAAATTATAAAATAATTCTATCAATAGAAAAAAAATATTATAACAATAAAATTGCAATATAAATATTTCTAAAAAAAAAAAAATATATTTAAATAAATTTAAATAAAAACTAAAAAATCTTTAACATAAAAATAAAAAAATACAAAAAAGAAAACATTTTTTAATTATTTTATTTATTTATTTATTTTTTAAATAAAAAACAAAACAAAATCTTCACTAAGCCTAAGCAGTTTTCTTAGTTTCAGCATTAGCTTCATCAGCTTTTTTTCTTCTTTATCCATCCCATTTTTAGTTGGTTTTTTCTTATCTAATGATTCTGTATACTTTTTTCTTTCTAAGTTCTTATAAATTAGTAACAGCTTTTTCTCTTTTAGATTCTTATTTAACAGGGACTACACTGCTTAATTATACTTAACCTACTTCAACTTTTTCAGTGGTATCATTAACTAAACCTTTCTTAGGCTTGTTTTAACGTCTTTTAATTTATTTTATTTTTATTTTTTATTTTTTAATTTATATTTTATACCTTGGTAATAAAACAAGTTTGCTAACATAAGCTAATAATCTTTATTTGTTCAAATCTAAAGATTCTTAGCATCTATTTTTTCTTCTATGATCAACTGAAATTCCTAATGATTATGCAAATCTAGCAGAAAGTCCAGCAGCTTTTATTTCTTATAATGTGAAACCTCTTCCTAATTTAGTTGATTTGTTGTATCTATTTTTTATTTATTTTTTAAATAAAATTAGGATTGTAATTGTAATTTCGTTATTTAAAAAATAAAATAAGAAATGTCAATTTAAAATAATATTTTTTATTCGTTTATTAAATACCTTTAGGTTTGCTTTCTTACAACTGGACGTAATTTTTCAGTTGGTCTGGGGAAAAGTTATGCTGCTTTTGTTTATCTTTTAAGAAGTCTAGCTTTTTTTTAAGCTGCTTAATCGAAGAATGTTCTAATTCTATATTATTGATGTTTTCTTAAAGTTGATACAGGCAATTAGTTGTTGTGTTTCATTTTTATTATAATATTTTTTTTTTATTTTTTCCTTAATTATTTTTTCCTTAATTATTTTTTTTTATTTTATTTTTTTTTTTATTTTTTTGTTTTTATATTTATCTTTAATATATTTTTATATTTTACTTTGTTTTTTATTTTTATTTATTTTTAAAAATAATATTTATTAAACAAATAGAAAATAAATACAATTAAATATATGATATTAACAAAAAAATCAAATATGATTAGAAAACCTTTTAATTCTAAAATTTTTCTTCTAATCTTAAATTTAATATAAATATCTTTAATTAAATTCTTTTTTATAAGGTAAATAACTTTTAATATTTTTTAATTAATTAATTCCAAAATTACTATTATTAACTTTTCCAATACTTTTGTCTACATTTCTAACACTTTTTTCTCCATAATCATCCGCTTTATTTTATTTTTAATTTTCACAAGAATCACTTTCAACCGAATAAAGGAAGCAGTCGCAATAATTTTAATTAGATATTCCCCCAAAAATAAAGATTTAGCTTCCAAAAACACAACTAGAGTGTTCAAATTTGTTTAAATTTAAATTCTCGTGTTAATGTTTACAGTTAACTTTCATCCATTCCCACAAATGTAATTAGAAAATCCAAAAATCGTCTAAAAATTTATAATTTTGACCAATTCCTCCATAAATAACTAAACTATTTAATCCTACGACTAAATCCATTGAATGAGAAAATCTGCCTTCGGGCATTTTTCCTTAAGTTTAGATTATTTCGAATTAAATAGGATGCTCTACATCTTTAGTTTTGTTTAAAAAAAAAAAAAATTAAAAAAATATCAATAAAAATTATACCTAATCTCAAAAGCATAATTTATGAATAAATATTCCCATTTTTATCTTTTCCTCCATATAAAAAAATACCTTCTTCTATAAGTCTTAAATTCTAAAATTTCTTTTTGAATTTAAAAACACTTACACTTTTATGAAAAGCAATTCCATTAGTAAAAGCTTCTTACTAATCGTAATTTTTAATCCTTTAAGTATCCAAATTAATAGAAATAATATCCGAAAAATAACTTTCATGCATTCTTACACCTCCAATAATATATAATAAATTATCTTTAATGCAAGCTGAATGATTTCTTCTTTTTTCCAAAACTCCCCCAAAGCATTTCATTAATGTAAATTCATTAGTATTAATATTAAAAAACCATAAATCACAACTACAAATCCTTTGTTTAGCCAAATAACTAAAGGAAGATTATCCTCCAAAAAAAACGATCAAATTTTCTTTATATTAATTTGCTGTATGTCCATATACGCTATATAAATTGTTTTAGGCTATTTTTTTCCATGTAGATTACTAAATATCGAATTACATTAATTCGTTCCTTAATGTTTCGCCTAAACCCCCATATAAATATAAATTTCCGTTTATTTCAGTAAAAGTGGCTCCTTCACAAAAGCCGGGGTTTGTAGCGGAATTTGAATCGATTTTTTTAAAATAAAATTCAATTGTTTTTACTTTATTTTTATTTTTATAAAGAAAAAGGAATGTTTATTTTATTTATAGTTAAATAATTTATATTTATACAGTTTTATTCAACAAATATATCAGAATAATTATTATTTAATTATTGTAAAATTTCTTTATTATTTGGTTGAGTCTTTTAAATTTGTTTTATTTATTTTCGTATATTATTATCTTTAATTTTACTTTGCATAATCTTTTTATTAAATAAAAAATAAAATATAATTTATTTAAAAATATTTTACATTAAAAAAGGTTTTCCTATAATTTTAAGAATACAAAATGTTTGTTTCATTTAATATTTTATTCATTTCGGATTAATTATAGTTAAGCTATTTCTTTATTTATTATATTGTATTATTTTCATTAGTTATATTATCAACTAGATTTATATTAAATTAGTCTTTAAATTATATAAAAGCTTAAATTTAATCATTTTTTATTGGAAAATTATATGTTTCTGTTTTATAAAATTTATCTTCTTTTATATTTTTTACACTTTTACTCTATCTTTATTTTTATTATATCATATTATTGTTAATATAATTAATTAATAAAAATAAAATTTTAATTATTTTTTAAAAAATAATAAATGTATTTTAATTAATTCAAAAAAAATAAAAAGAAATATTTAATTATTTTTTTAATTTTTATAAAATTATATTAAGGTTAAATTTTTTTAAATAAATAAATATTTGAAAAATAATTTTAATTAGTAGTAAAATTATATTTTTTTTATATAGAGAGAAAATATTTAATTGCTTTATCTTTAAAAAGATATTTTTATTTAATAAATTATTTATTTTTTATATAATTAAAAAAAATAAAAAATAAAAAAAAATGAGAGAAAAGTGGAGAAAGAAGAGAATGAGAAGACTAAGAAGAAAAAGAAGAAGAGCGAGAAAATGATTATAATAAATACATAAAAATTTATAAATTTATTTAATAAAAATATGTTTTTTGTTATAATTTAAATATTAATTCTATTTAAAATTAAAATTTCCATTTTATTTTATATTTTTTTAAAAATATATTTCATTTTATTTAATAATTGTATATTTATTTATTTTTAACTTATTTTAACAACCTATCTCCAAATACTTCATTAAAAATTGAAAAGAACCCACAAAAATTTAATATGACTTAAAATTAAATGAAGAAAAAATTAATATTCATATAACCTTAGAAATATAAAAGATTATTATTATTTTATTAAAAAATTATAACTTTTTATATTTCATTTAATAATATAAATACAATATTATCAATATTAATCAATAATTTATTAAAATAAAATATTATTTAATCAAATATAATAATAAGTCTAATTATTAAATAGATGCGTAAAAAAAAAAAGAAAAAAACATCAATATATATATATATAAAAATACTCTTGTCAATTTTTTTTAAAAATATAAAAAAAAAAATTACAAATAAAATAATAAAAATGATTATATTAATATAAAAAAATAACTAAAAAATACTAAAAATTTAAATAAAAGCTTATTAAAAAAAAAGATATAAATGAACTGGAATATATAAAAAAGCAAATAATCAATTAAAATAAATGACTTTTTATTTTTTATTTCCAATAAAAAATTAAATAAAAATCTATATTATTATATTATAAAAATTCCCTCATTTTTTATAAGTATGGAAGGTTTTATCTTCTCTGAATTCAAAAGTAACTTCACGAGTAGTGAGTTTTTTGTAAATAGCAGTAACTAAATCGAGTTTTTCTTCCAAATAATCTCTATCATTTTAATCTAAATGACTAATAAAACAAAATATTATATTAATAAATAAAAAAATAATATATATATATATATATATTTATTACACTCTAGTAAATTAAGTTCCATCTAATCTAACTCTAACTCTCTTTCCGATAATAACAGAAGGAAGTAATAAATCATCTAAAAGAGCATCATAAACGTATGTAAGACATCTGCTTCTGGGTCTTTATTATGATTTGTGTTCTTTAACCCATTTGGATTCAATAGTTCTTTTAGCTGTGAAAAATACGTTTTGTTTTAGTTTTTTTTCAAGTTCAATAATTAATTTTCTTGCAATTGCTTAGACTACTTTATAAGATTAGAAATGTACATATACTAATAAAGCTGTTTTTTATTTTTTGTTAGCCTTGGTAATTGTGTGTTCTTCAACACCAGTCAAAATAACACTTTTTAAATAAGTCTTCAAATCATTGTTGGTGTTTTCGATTTCAACTAATGCAGAACCTACGAATTCTTCGGGTTTTGTTAAAGTCTATTATTATTATTATTATTTATATTTTTATTTTTAGAGACTTTTTATTAAATTACTTTTTTTTTATGGAATTTTGCAAGGGCCATTATTTATTTTTTTATTTATTATTTTTTAATTATTTATTTATTTTTTTCTTAATTTTTAATTTTATTTTTGTCTTTTATATTCACATTATTAATTTAGATATTTTCTTTCAATAAATATTTTTTTTATATTTAATTATTTTTGTTTTTTATTTTTTTATTTATTATTAATTTTTTTAAATTATTAAAATAAAATATTGAAGAAAATTTAATAAAGAATTAATAAATTTCAATTAAAATTTTGTATGAAAAATAATTATAATATTATAAACTTTTTTATTATTAAATCATTATTATTTATAAATTAGCTATAATTATTCATAAAAAAAAGAATTGTAAATTATTTATTTTTTATATTCATAAATTTTTAGTCTTTTAAAATATATATGCAAATTAAAAAATAATAATTATTTCTAATTTTTTTAGATAATTTATAAATGTTTATAAATTATCTATATACACATAAAAAAATTGATAATATAAATTGCTTATAAATAATAACTTATATTATATCAAATTAAATTTTAATTAATCAAGTAATTATTAAATAAAAACTGTTACTTTAACTTAATTCTTAAGTTTAAATTATAATTAATAAAATAAAAAAAATGCATATAATGCAATTATATACTAATTATAAACTTCTAAATAATAAAAATAAAATTTATATTATTATTAAATATTAAATTTTAATTAATATAAAAAATTTATAAAATACTTAAATAATTACTTATAAAAATAAAAAAATTAGTAATTTATTTGTAAATAAAATTGCAACAAATAAAAAATTTTTAAACTTACTAATTTTTAATTATTAAACAAAAATACATTATTAAATTAGCTTATCCATAATAAATATAATTAAATTCTTAAAAATATCAAATTATTAATTAAATATAACATATTTTATATAAAAGCATATTTAAATTTATTAAAGATATTATTAGCTATCATATATATATCAAATTTGTATTAGTTAATATTTACATTATTATTGATTTATTTAAATTATTTAAAATATCTTGATTTTAATTTAATTAAGCAAACAAACATACTATTTTTTTTTTTATTTATTAATATAATTTAAATAAAAAATAATTATAAAAATGAAAGTAACTAATTAACAAAATAAACATATATTTAATAATTATAATTAAGAATGAAATGTTAGATATTATATTTTTTATAGTCAATATATATATACATGTAATTTATATATTAAAAACAATAAAAATAGATTAAATCAAAAGCTCTATTAAAATATAATAGTAGGTAGAAATCAGATCCTTAATTATAAATAGATAAAATAGTAAATTAAATAACATAAATAAAGACAAAGATAAAGATGATAAAAAAAAATATATTATATAACTTAAAAATTTAATGAATTTATTTAGAAAATATTCTAAAAAGCTTTTTTTGTTTTATATAAATGGATACTGAGTGAAAGCAAATATATGGCAAATAATAAATTAATTTTTTTTCTTTCAAATAAACCTAGTAAAACTTTTATTAATATTGATAAAATGGATATCATGAATAATTTTTGATTTTAAGTTCTATCTAATTATTTAAGATTTAAAAAATTGGATATATAAAATAAAATATAAATTTGTATATATATATATACATAATTTAAATATATATATATATATATATATATATATATATATATATATATATATATATATTGTTTTCTTTTGTTTTTATTTTCATTAATCATGTTTATATTATTATTATTTTATAAATATTAAATCATCAGTAAACGGTTAATTAAATTCAGCTGTTCCTTCAATGATGTGATTTATAAAATGATTTATTCTATGTTTACTAAGTTTAAATTTTTTGGAATATTTAGTATATTTCCCTTTATATAAAGCAATAGCATTAGGGAATTTATATTAAAAATCCTCCTAAAGCCTTACATTAATATTATTATAAAAAGTATAATAGAAATCAAAACCGGGGTAATTATCTTCCAAGTTATTTAACATAAGAGACTATTTAACATCTTAAACAATTAAAATAAAAATAATTATATTATATTAATTAGCTAAATGTTATTATTTGAGAAGTTTATTAATATTCATATGCTAATTATTAATTATGATTTATAATTTAAGAAACTTTCTTATATATTCTTTATTTTTGACCCCTTTATATACCGTCATTTAATATCTCTTAACATCATATAAACCTACTATTGTTGGAAATTAAGTAACATTAAACTTCTTTAATAAATGTTTTTCGCTACTATGTATAATAATAAACTATAAACTATCCTTAAATTCCTTTGAGAAAGCCTTAATTAAAATAGGTGTATATTATTTTTCAGTAAAAAGGGCAATTATTCTCTTAGCTTATATATGTAATTATTTATAATTTTCCTTAGTGACTTTTTGGGAATAGTCTTCCATTAAATTGGATGCGAAAAGTCCTATTTTTTGAATGTCCTTCATATCATTTTTGTATTCTTATCCTTGGGATTCTATATGCGCAGAGAAAGCTTTTATTTTAGGATAATAAAAAACTTCAAATTGATCTTCACATAAAGAAATTTCGTTTTTACAATTAATGCTGGAAACAGTAAATATTCCTTTATATTTTGAAGCAAATTTTTTATAAACATCTATTATTTCTAAAGACTCTGGTTAATATTTGTTGTAAAATAATACTATCCAGACTTAATTTCTTTATAGAAAATTACTTAATTATTCCATTTTAAAAATAATTACGTCTGAGTTTTAGAAAACGTTTTTTCTTTTACTATCTTTATTTAATTTTATAAAAAACTAACTAAATATATTCTAATATCTTAAATTAGTTATTTATTTATTTTAAGGACTATTCTATTGCTATTATTTTTTGAATTCCATCTAGTTATTATGAAAGCAATCAAATATGTCTTCAAAATATTCCTAATCGAATGTATTTTCGACATCATCTTAAACTTTTTCACTTTAATTATTTTATTTATTTTTATTAAATGCAAATTCACCAAAATTATCGTAAGCGTCCCTTTTTTAGGAATCGCCTAATATTTCATAAGCCTCTACTATCTAAGAAAATTCTAATTCTGCTAAGTATATGTTATTTTGATTTTTATCAGGATGATATTTTAATGCCATTTTTTTAAATTATTGTTTTATTTATCTTAAATCACTATTTCTAGAAATTCCTAGTATTTTATAATAGTCCTTTTCACATATATATTATTATATATTAATTATATATAGAATTAATAATAAACATATATTCATTATTATTATTTTTATAATGTTTATTAATTAGATTATTTGTAAATACTTTTTATTTTCTATTTTATTTATTATTTTTTTAAAAAAAAATAGATGAAAATATATATTTATTATTTAAGTTTTATTTAAATAAATTATTTTTATATTATTATTTTTAATAAGAAATATTAATTTATATATAATTTTTAATAAAAATAAATGATTATAAAAAGTTTTTAATAAAGCGATAAGCTAATATAAAAATAGCCTGCTGATTTTAGAGAAATAGATGTAAATAATTATTTTAATATAACAGATTAAAGGCAAATAAAAGAATTATAATAAATAATATAAGATAGAAAAGAAATTGATTTTAATATTTCTAATGCAGATATAAATTTTAATAATAAAGCAAAAAATTTATTTAATGCTTTAGGACAATGCCAAAAAATCCTTGAAATAGAATAATCTAATAAAAATAAAGAAAACAAATATATTTATTATAATATGGAAGATGTAGAATATGATGAATAAAACTAAGTCCAAAATGCATTTGCTTTTTTAAAAAAATTGGAAAAATAAAATTAATAATAAGAATAGGCAATGGAAGATAAGTTCGATGAATTAACTTTTAAACCTTAATATAATAAGAACAATAAAATTTAAGTCGAAAAATAAAATGATATTTAGATTAAATAAAAATTGAAGCTTTTAAGTATATAAGAAGATGAGTTTTTCTGAAAAAAAAATTATAAATAATATATGAAAAGTTAAGTTAATTTATTATTATAAAATTAATACATAGGCGGCATTATATTAATTTATTTAATATAAATTCTTGATAAACAGTATATAATAAGTTTTATATATACTTAAAATTTTTATTTAACTTTTTATATAAATAATTTATAATAAATAATATATTTAGAATATATTAATTTAATATATATACGGTAATAAATAAATATTTATTTCTTATAATATAATAAATTTTAACTTTTATTTAATGTATATATATATTTTATTATTTATATATTATTAACTCTCTATAATATTCATGTTTTGAAAGATAACAAATTATATTAATTAACTTTTTTTCTATTTTTCGGTAAAGCCAGCATTTCCAGAAAAAACATTTTAAATATGTAATTTAAAAATATTATAATTTGAATATATAATAAAAATAATATATAATAATTTCTAAATTTTTAATCTTAAATTACATAATACACATATTTTCAATATAATGCAAAATATTTTATTTTATTAAAATTTTATAATTTTTCTTTCTGTAATTTTTAAAAATATACCTAGATTAACACTTCTATTCTATTTTAATTTATTTATATATTTCATTTTTTTATTTTTACCTTTTAATTATTCTAAATTAAAAGTCTAAATTAATTTATATACTTAATTAATATAAACGTCATTAAATTAGAATTTCATAATAATAAGATGTAAATAGATAAAATCTAAATGTAATTTATCAAATTGATTAGAAATAAATAACATTACCTCTATATTATAAAAAATATATTCTTTTAATATTTTCATAAATAAAAATTATAAGTTAAATATACAAAAATTTAATTTCATATAAGATAAAAGTTGAAAAAAAAGAAGAAAAAAAATGGGAAACTCTATAATTGTCTGTTTAAATAATGATAATAATTATTAAAATGATAATTTAAAAAGTTTAAACTCTATAATCAATAAAGAAGAAGATAATTTACTTTATTCATGTACATAAAATAAAGTTTCATTAAAATCATTTACATTCTAAAAGTTAAATACATATTAAATTAAATATTTATTATATTAATATAATTTTATTTCTTCAGAATATAGGATAAGGATCATATGCAAATGTATATAAAGTTAAAAATAAAAATAATAGTAAATTTTTAAAAATAAAATAAAAAATAAACAAAAATTAAATATATATGTATAGAACAAATTTATGCTATGAAAGTATATAAGAAAAAATTACTAAAAAAATAAAATTTAATAGTAAAAAGCCTAGCTGAAAGAAATATTTTGTAAAAAGCATCTTCTCCATTTATTGTATCCTTATTTTATACATTTTAAACTAAGCATAATTTATATTTAATAACAGAATATGTTATAGAAGGGGATTTATATAAGCATTTGTAATTGTTTTCTAAATTTGATGAAAATACAGTAGCTTAAGTAGTTTTAGCTTTAGAATATCTACATTAATAAAATATTTTATATAAAGATCTTAAACTAGAGAATATATTACTAGAATCTAATAGTTACATTAAATTAACAGACTTTAGTTTATTTAAAGATAATATTAAAGGTTTTTAATAAATATTAATATTTTATATATATTAATAAATAAACAATATATATAATATATATATATATATATATATATAAAAAAATTATTTATAAATATATATTCATTTTTATAAATAATTTATAATTATATATAGAATCTGATTAAACGTATACTATATGTGGATCACCAGAATATATGTCTCCTGAATAAATTTTATAAAAAGGACATAATAAAATATGTGATTTTTGGCAATTAGTAATTAATTTAATTTTTTTTTTTTATTTATTATATTCGTAGGGTGTTTTAATTTATGAAATGCTATGTGGAAAAACCCCCTTTTGGAATATTGAATAAATATTTAATAAATACTAAATTTATATTGATATTCTTAAAGGAAAATATAATTTTCCCAATTTTTTATCAAATAATGCTAAAAATTTAATTTATTTTTTACTACAAACTGATGTTAATAAAAGATTAGGTTCAAAAGGTTTTGAAGAAATTAAAAACCATTCATTTTTTAAAAATATTGATTGGGAAAAATTATTTAAAAAGGAAATTAAATCACCATATATACCACCAAATAAAAATCCTTTAGAGTTATAAAATTTTAATATTGTAGTTTTTTTTTTCTTAATAACAAAATATTAATTTTTTTTGTTATTATAATTAAGATATATAGAAATAATTCAGAATTTCAAATACATGATATATCTTGTACAAATACAGATGATGATGAATTTTTTAAAGAATTTTCTTATCAAAATAATAGAATTAATATAAATATATGAAATATTAATTAAAAAAATACAAATTTAATAAAACATATATAATTAGAAAGTTTATTTTATAATAAAAATATTTTTATAATTTATTTATTTTATATAAATAATAATATATAATCATATATTTTTTTATTTTTTCCTTTAAAGTAATTCAATTTCTTGTAACTTTTTTATATTTCTTTGCTTTTATACCTAAATTTTCACTCAAACATCTCTAAACCTTTCTTAAATAATTCAGTTTATCATAATTTTTAGAATTTTTTTTTTCAGAACAATAATTTATTTTACTACATATAAAAATGCCAACTGAATAAATAGAAATATTAAGCAAAAATGAATATAAATGTTCATTTTATTATAAAAAATCTATTCTAAAACTAATGATTTCTAATGTTAATAAAATAAAAGAAGTATATTTAGAAAAAAAATGCATTCTAAATATAATAAATAAAACATATAAAAAGTAAATAATCGTCAAAAATTAAAAATAAACTTAATAATTAAACATTTTTTATTAATTTAAGCCTTTTTCGTCACTTAAATTTACATAAATTTAATTTATGAAAAATAGAATATATATTAGTCTTATTAAAAGTAGTTGAAACATACTTTTTTTTATTATTTATTTATTTTAATAATAATAAAAATTAATATTTTGTTAGATATTAAAAAAAATTATAATTTATAAATAAATCAAATAATCATTAAAAATTATATAGAATTCTTTTACTTTAAAATATATATAATTAGATAAAAAAAAAAAACATAATTTATAAATAATAAAAAAAAATGAATTCACTTTATATATAAAAATAATATATTTTTTATAATTTCAAAAATAAGAAACAGAATTATTTTCATTTAAATATTTATTTCTTATTTATTAAATATCATTAAAATCAACATCATCTAATTATTCAAATAATTTAATTTTGTGAGGTTTATTTAACATTACTTCTCTTAAATTTTAAAGAATTACTGTATGAAAAAGAGTTCTAAATTATGGATTTGTTTTTATAAATTAGGTTTAGCACATTTCTTATACATTTTATTCATTTAATTATTGTTATTATTATTATTATGTTTAAAATAAATTTTCAAGGTTTTAAACTTTTTTATAAATAAAAAATATAAATAATATTAAATTGTAATTTTTATTTTTTTATATTTAAAAACTTACATTACTAATCATTAAGAATTTTTTATTAAAGTTATGTATATATTTAATTTTATATAGCATGATTTTAACTAGAAATATTAGAATTAGTAGAAGATTATTATGAAATTTGTTAATTACTCTAAATATTTATATTTTAAGACTATTCTTTTTATAAATTTTACTCATTTTTTTAAAAATTATAAAGAATATCTTATTATTAATTTTCAAACATCTATTAATTTAAATGAGATTAATTATTTAACAAAAAAATATTTTTATCTTCTTTTTCATCAAGCTAAAAATTTAATGATAAACCTTTTAACAAATTTTCATCTTATTCACTTAAAAATATAATAAAAATAAAAAAACATGACTTATGAAATATTTAACTTGTCTTACTTACCTTATGATATATTATATATAGAAAATTTGATATCTGGCTATTATTATTAATTAATTTTACTTTCATTACTAAAACTCATATTTTATTATATGAAAATGTATTTCTTTATTTATTTGTATTAAAAGAAAATTATATTAGCAATATATTAATATAAGTAGCTATATAATAATAATAAAATAATGATTTTTTTAATTAATAAATATATTAAAATACTATTATATATTATTAATTATATATAAGAATATATATATTTAATAATATATATATATTTATATTTTATTATAATATTTAATTTATTTATAAATTTACAATATATTTTTTTATTAAAATAACAAATTTTTTTTTTTTTTTATAAATATATATATATATATATATATATATATATTATTTTTATTTTGAATTTATAATTTAATTACATTATATATATTATTATTTATATATTTATATTTGTATAATTTATTTACATATTAATTTTATAAGATATTTTTATATGTATACTTCTATATACTATATTATATTTAAATTATTAAAAAATATACAATTATATGATATTAAATATAAAAACTCTTAAAGGATAATTATTCTGTCTTAATTTCGAAAGCAATACAACTGTATTAAATATAATCATATTTATATATATATATTACCAAAAGGTTTAAGAATTAAAATTTTAATTAGAAGAATAAACTAATTAAGATAAAAGAAATTTAATTTTAATTTTTAATGGTAAATAAATATTAGATTAATAAACATGTAGTGAATTAAATTTAAAATAAGGTGATTAATTAACATTAATGATTTAATAAAAAGTTAAAAATTAATAATATATATATATACTTTTATTTAAATTATTTTTTATAGTTTAGTTAATTATAAAAACCTTATAAAATAGTTGAAGAATAAAAATTAAATTATTTAAAAAATTTAACAGAAGCTGATATAATATAACAATCATTATCTTTTGAAAAGCATGATATTATATAATCTTTAAATAATTCTTAGAATAACATTGAAGAAGCATTAGAATACTTAATTTCAAATTGTTTAAAAGCAAAAAATCCATAAATTTATTAATAAAATAATATTCATACAATCGAGCAAATTTATTTTTTAAACTAAAATCCTTAGTTTTAACAAGCAGCTTAATAAATAAGTTAAAATGGAGAACTAATTATACCTCTTATATAATAAATTAAAGAAACAAATTAATAATTTGCAGAATCATTATAAGTTAATCAACAATAAGTTTTACAAATGATATAATAAACTACAAAAATAGACGGAGGAATTCGTATTAAATAAAAAAACAATGTTTTTAAAATATTTATTTTATTATTTTTTAATAGATTTACCTCCTAATTCAATAATTTTAAATAATGAGTAAAATATAGAAATCGAATAAATAGCAACATAAAGATAAATTGATCGAAATTAAGTTTTGTTTGCATTCATTGTAAGCAATTATAGTACTTAAGAGACTAATTAATATCTCGAAAATAAAGAATTAGAACAATAGTAAAAATAAAAAAATATAAATACTGAATATTTTTAATGAATTAAAAATATAAATTATATATATTTTTATTTTTTTAAAAAAAATTCAATTAGATAAATTATCATTTTATAAAATTTAACTAGACTGATTTTCTTTATCATTTTCTTAAGTTTTCTCTTTATTATGTATTTCTTTGAATCTCTCATATTTTTTTTTTAAATTAACTACACAATTTTAAAATAAAACATTTTTTCCATTTCTTTTAAATTAAATATATCCTTAAACATTATTCTAAATAGAAAATTTAATTATTTATTATATATCAGGTTCCTTTAAATTATTTAAATATTTTTTTGATCTTGCACGAACAGCTTCAACTGATCTTTTAATCTTTCCTCCTTTAGATACATTTAAATAGTCTTTTGTTGTTAGTATTTATCTTTCACCACATGCTTAAATTATTATCAAGTCTTCGAAAAGAGAAAAAGGTCTTTAACGTTTTGGATTTTACGTTATTTAAAAATTTTCTGTATTTTCATTAATTATATAATTTATTAGTTCATGATAAGTAAGATTCTTTTAGCTTTATAAAAAGTTTAACATTTTGTTTTGTTTTGTTTTTTTATGATTTGTTTATTTTAGATTATATTTTATTATCATTTTTATTATTTCAATTAATTAAAATGAAAATCTTAAGCAAGATTTTTATTTTATAATGTAAATATATAGAATTTTTTTTTAAATAAATTAAACTTTTTATTAAAAATAAATTATAATTTAAAAATTAAATTGTTTCGGTTTAGTTTATTTTTATTATAAATACATGGTTTCAATTAAATTAAAAATATAATAATTATAAAAAAAATATAAATAAAAAAATAAAGCAAAAATAAAACTAAAATGATATCCGGAAATAAATGCATATATTATCTATACAATCTTTTAAATTTTTTATTTCTTTTATAATCATTATCCTTAATTGCAGTTGGTGTTTGGCTATGGGCTGAAGTAAAAGCCATAAGTCTACTTAATTTATCTATTATAATATTAGGATTTATAGAATTTGTAATATCATTATTAGGATAGCATATGAAATAATCGGTAGCAAAACTAAGCATTTACATATTTTTATTAGCAATTATTTTTTTAGGATAAATAATTTTAGATGCCTTAATAATCACTTCGAAATAAAAAATTATTGATTGGGCAGGAAAATAAATGAATAGTAAAAATGAAACAGAGAAAATAAAAAATGTTATATTAAATAATTTTAATTTGGTTTGTTATGTTTTGGGAGGAGCTGTGGGAATTTAATTTTTTTGCATTATTTTTGCTTATATGTATAAAAGATCTTTTATTGAAAATAATAAATAAAAAAAAGAATTATTAGTTAAAGATAATAATGGGTATAAATTTTTGTTAATATTTTATTTTTATTTTATTTTAGAAAGAATGTTACCTTATAAGAATTATAAACTAATTATTAAAATTAAACTAGCTAAAAGTTTGATGAAAAAAGAAAAGAACTTTATGATAAGTATCCTGAATATTAAAAATATAAAGAAAATAAGAAGTGAAGAATTTTTTTTTATTTTTTAGGTAAAATATATATCTTATCAAAAATTATAAAAAATTGCTAATTATTCAAAAAATATATATAAAATATATGTATTTTTAAATTTATGGTAAATAAAGTATTAATAATAATTGAAAAAAATAAAAAATATATAATTATTTTTATATAAGCAAAATCTTATAAAATATATATAAAATAAATTAAATTAAGTAAAATAAAAATAATTATTAATAGATATAAATATTTTTTAGTCTTTAATAATAAAACAAAATTCATATTATTACTTATATAATTTAATTTTTCTCAGTTTTACAAATTTCAACATTTTTATCTTAAAATGAATCCAGCCTCCTTCTATTTGCTTCCTTATAAAATTTAAATTTGATACTTTATTTAAAATGTTTAATCTGATTATAATATTCTGGTTATTGAGCTTTATAAATAAAATAATTTCGATTTTATTTGATTTTATAATCTTAACTTTTAACTATAGATTAAATCTTTTATTTATTAACAATTTTTTTTTAAATTTTTTTTTTCATATTAATTATAATACTGAAAAACATGAAAGATAAGGAAATATTTGAATTTTTTATTAATTAATGTTTAAATTATAAATCTAAATACATATTTTTTATATTTATTCTATAAAATCTTAATAGATTTATTAATATTTGTTTTATTAACAAAAAATATATATCTATATTATGTCTATATAATTTAAATTAAAAGTTTTCTATATGAAAAAAAAATAAGATAAAACAAAATAATTTTTTTAATCTTTCTATATATTAATAAAAATAAGCTAAGATATATCAAAGAGAAAGCAATAAAATAAAATTAATTTAAAAGACTATGTTTTACCAAAATCTTTAAGAACTATAATTATATTTATATCATATAAAATCTGCATAATTAAAACTATTTTTGTTTCGTTTTAAAGTATTTCTAAGAGCAAGATTACTCACAAATGAAAAATAAAGGATAGTTTGGTTATATAATAAGAAAGTTCAGATTTTAGATCTTTTAAGTAGTCATAGCAACCTATTATAATTAAGAGTTAAATTAATTATAACTAATATTTTTTTTTACTGAATTAGCTTTTCTAACAATATTACTTTTTTTAAAAAAAATAACTTTTTCGCATTTAAACAGAATTTATTAGAAAACTTAATTTTTTCATTTAATTATTAAATTTATTCATTTTAATATGAAAGAAGTATATTTCGAATTCTGAACATTAGAAAATTTAATATATTTAACACATTTATATGAAAATTTAAAATTTAAAATTATAATTATAACAGGCTTTTATCAGATACTTAAATTTAGATTTACTTTTTTCAATTAAAATATTAATATTATATTTTTTACTTAAAAAAAATATTATTGAGATTATATTAACAAAAAAACAATATTTTATGTTTATATATATATTTAATATAATTTTTATAAAACAACTAAAATATTTTATATTTTAATTGTATTAATCTTAAACAAAGTTTAAAAATTACAAAAAAATTATTTTATAAGCTAATATATTTTTTATTTTTAATAACAGTTAAATATTTATATATATATATATATATATTTATGTATAAAATAACATTAAATTATTTTTTTAAAAAGTGCTTTTGCTATATATATAAAAAAATAAGCGTTTCAATCATTAATATCTTTTAATCCTATATCTTTTTCACTTTCTTAAATTTAACTTTCTAATATAAGTGTATTTTATTATAACCTAATTCTATCCTAAGTGATTTAATGAACTTATTATTTTAAAAAAGTACATTCATCTACTTCTATAACACTTAATTTACGAAAATCTTTTGCAATTCTTAAAATTTCTTCCATTACAAATTGTTATAATTCAACTGATGAATCATTATTTGAAAATCCCATATTAAGTATATCATTTTTTAAATTATTTAAATATTTTTTGTTATCTTCAATATCATAAACAAGATTTTCAAGTATATCCTTAGTTTTTTATAAAATATTTGATTTATTTTTAACTAATAAATTATAATAATACATCAAGTTTATCTAAGTGAATTTTTATAGGTAAATTTATAGATTATTAATCTAATGATTTTATTTTTTTTTCATATTCAGATTCTTAATAATTGTTTTCTGAATCTTCATGTTCACTCATTTTAAATTTATTTAATATTAATTTTTTTTATTTTTTAAAAAATAATTAAGAATTTATATTTTATTTATAATATATTAATATACAAACTTATTTATAATAATTAAGTAAATATATTTAAAAAAATAATAAAAATAATTTAATTTATATAAATATTTATTTAATTTTTATGAATTATTACACAAATTATATAAATCATATATATTTAATAATAAAATGAGTTTTATTCTTATCATTAAGTATTAATTTAGCATTAAAAAAAAACATTATAAAATAGATTAAAAGAAATTTTATAGACGATATATAAATGAGTTAATTAAGTTTGTATATAAAAAAAAAATAAGAATAAAAATATATATAAATATATATTTTTATTTGTATATATATTAAAAGGTTATTAATAATAATTTTCTTTTTAATTTTATTTATTTATTCTTATATATATATATATATATATATTTGTAATATAATTTATTTTTTTATTATATATATTAATATTATATTTTTTTTTATATATATAAAGATAATTTATTTGTTTGAAAATATTTATATTAAAAATTTATGAAATACCTTTATATAATATTTATATGCATTACTTTTTATTATTATTTTTTTTTTCAGTTTATTTTTTTTAAACTAAATTTAAAATAATAATATATTAATCAATTTATTCTTTATTTGTTTTTGTTTATCTTTTCAGGATTTTTAAAAAAAATTATATTAATAATAATAATATTCCATTTTTAAAATTAATATATATTATATATTTTTATTTTTTCTCTTCTTCTTTAGCAGTTAAAGATAATAAAAATATTTATTAAAATAAAAAAAAATTATTTAAAAAAAAATCATTAGTTTCTTCATTCTTATTATTCTTCTGCATCATCCTAAAATTCAGAAGTCCATAAAGTTAAATTATCTCTAATAAGCTACATAATAGTAGTTGCATCTTTATACTAATCTTCTTGTATACTTTCAATATCTCCAATAGCATCATCGAAAGCAGTTTTTGCTAAATTGCAAGCTTTAGATGGATCATTTAACACTTCATAATAAAAAACGGAGAAATTTAAAGCTAAGCCCAATCTTATGGGGTGAGTAGTTGAAAGTTCAGCAGTTCCAGTCTCAGAAGCCTTAGTATAACTTTCCAAAGCTCCATCTGCGGCTTTTTTATGTTCATCTCCAGTGGCATATTCAGCAATATATCTGTAGTAATCTCCTTTCATTTTTAAGAAGAAAACTTTAGCTTCTGAATTCTAGATATTTTTTAAATAATAAATTATTTTTTAAAAATAAAAAATTTTACTTATGAATTTTTAACTAAATGAGATGTTAATAAGTCAAGAATATCATTGCAATATTTACTTAATTCAGTTTCAATTTTTTTCTTTTAATTTGTTAATAAATTTAAATGCTTCGATCCTTTCTATTCTTCTTTTTGTTAGATTGCTGATATACTTCTCCATGCAGATCTTCTTGATCCTACAGTATTTTTGTAAGCAACTGATAATAGATTTCTTTCTTCTACTGATAGGTCTTATCCGGTTAATACTACTTGTTTCATGTAGTCTAACATGTCCTCGAATCGTTCAGTTTATTCAGCGATTTTAGACATATATATGAGTTCGTCTCTACTTAATCCCATTTTTTTTTTTTTTTCTTTTTTTAGTGTTTTTTTTAATTTTTTTTTTATTTTTTAAATTTTTATTTTTAATAATTTTTTATTTTATTTTTTATATCATTATTTATTTTTGTATTTTTTTATATCTCCATATGTTTATAAAAATCTATTCCTTAACAAAGATTTTTTAAGCATTTGTAATTTTTTTATTTTATATAAAATAATTTTAAGATAAATTTTTTTTTTTCTTTATTTAATTAAAAATATATATTTCCTTTTAAAGTTAAAATAAATAACAATACAAAAAATAAATAATTATATTATTATTTTTTTTAAAAAAAAATAAAAAATATTTAATTTGTGGGAAATACTTTCATTTTTTTATATACCACAATAAATAAATAACTATTTTTTAAAAAAAACTAAAAAAACTAAAACCATTTTTTAAAATAAAAAATAAAAACAAAAAGTCATTTTTTTATATAAAAAAAAAAAAAAAAAACTAAAATATGTTAAAAAACAATTCCCAATCAAGCCTAAAAGACTTTGATATAATTTAAAAACTAGGTCAAGGCAGTTTCGGTATTGTATACAAAGTGAAACGTAAAATTGACAATATATTTTATGTAATGAAGTAAATAAATATGCAATAAATGAATTCCAAAATGAAGCAAGAAGCCATAAATGAAGTAAAAATTCTTTCCTAAATGTCAAATCCATTTGTAGTAAAATACTATGATTCTTTTATTGAAAAGAGTACTTTGTGTATAATTATGGAATATTGTGATGGAGGCGACCTTTGTACATTTTTAAAATCTTAATTAGGCCGACCTTTGTAGGAATAAAAAATTTGGCATTTTTTCATCCTTAGTACATTAGGTTTAGATTATATACATAGAAAAAAAATACTACATAGAGATATTAAAACTATGAATATTTTTCTTACAAAATAAGGAAGTAATAATGTAAGAATAGGAGACTTAGGAGTCGCCAAAATATTATAAGATTAAGATAATTTCGCACGTACATTGGTTGGAACTCCCTATTATTTATCGCCTGAAATGTGTGAGGAAAAACCTTATAATGAAAAATCGGATATATGGAGTCTTGGATGCGTTTTGTATGAGTTATGTACGTTTAAACATCCGTTTGAGGCTAATAATTAGCCAGCTTTAATTATGAAAATTATAAGGGGAAGATATGATTAAATACCTAGTATGTTTTCCCGGGATTTAGTTAATATGGTTGATATGTGTTTATGTAGAGATTATAAAAAAAGACCAAGAGCAAGAGATATTTTGGAAACAAAAAGTTTTTTTTTTTTTGTAATAATATTTAATATTTTTTTAGTTATAAAAGATAGAGCTGCTTAACTAAATATAGAATTAGATGTTTCAAAAATAGAAAATAATTAATAAGTATATAAAAAAAAGGAAGAAATAAAAGTTATATAAGTAATAATAAAAAATGAAGAAAAAGAAGAAGAAAAAAAAGTAGAAATAAAAGATGAAAAAAAAGATGAAAAAAAAGATGAAATTTAAAAGAAAAAACAAGAAGTTATAAAAATTCCTGTACCTAATAATAATAATAATAATAATAATAATAATAATAATAATAATAATAATAATAATAATAATATAAAACACAATAATAATATTGATCCTATTAAGGCTTTATAAGAAAAACAAAACAATTATAATTAGAAAGAGAATAATAAAAATAATTGTAAATTTAAAAAAGAATAAATGAAGATAAGGAAAAAAAAGCTCTACAAAATAATAATATGAAGAACTTTAAATAAAAAAAAAAGAACTAGAAAAAATTAAATAATAAGAAAAAGAATTATTTATACTTAAAAAAAAAGAAGATCTTCGACTTAAACAAGAAATGTACTAGAAATAATTAGCAGACTTAAAATAATTTCAAGTAAAATAAAACAATAAACCATTAAATTAAAAACGTATAAAAACTCCTAAAAAGGAAGAAGATTAAAAACTTGATTTATTAAAACCAAAAATTAAGGTAAATATTAAATAAAAAGAAATATATAAATATATATATATATAATCATATATATATTTATTTAATATATTTAAATAAAAGTAAATAATTAATTTTAAAGATGATTTATTTTAAATTGACAATTTTGACAGTTCTGGCGAATAAGATTAAAAAAATATAAAAATAATACATAGTGCTTAATAATTAGAAAAATAAAATGAAAGTCCTATTAAATATAATTAACATGTTCTCTCAGCTTAATAATAAATTGTAAATGATAGTTTTTTGGAAAAGGAATTCGGAGATAATTTAAATTATGAAAATAAAAGTAAAAAGATGATAATTTACCTTAAGCTAATAAATAATTGAATCAATGGAATGTTGAATAAAATATTCCTTTGACCGAATAATAATAAAATGTTTTTTTTTAAGTTAAATAAAATGATGAAAGTTATCAAGAAGATAATCAAGAAAAAGAAGAAGAATAAGATGGACATTATTTTGAAGATTAAGAAGATAATAATTAAATAGGAGAAGATAAATAAGAAGAAGAAGATAATTAATTTGAAGAAAAACACCAAAATTAAACTAATAATAAAGAAGATTTAAATAAAAAATTGAATGAATCTATAAAACGAGAATAGGAATTATAAAATTTATTATCTTTAAAATAAAAGGAGTGCATAACTATTTTCGGTTAATAAAAATTTGATATAATGTTTACATTTTTTAGATAAAAATTGAATGTAAAATAAATTATTATTTTTATTATTTATATTATTATAAAATATATTTATAATTTTTATAAGAGTGATAAAGATTTAAGTGAAAAAGACTAAGATGAAATAGATTAAGTTATTTAAGAAAATATTAATTATAATTTAAATCCTTAAGTAAAATAATATTTTATTAAAATTTTTAAAAAAAATATTTAAATAAAAGGCTATATTTGCAATTTATAAAGTTCTTAATTTAGAAGTAGAAGTTGAAAAAACAAAAGAAAATATAAAAAATATAAATTAATTAATTATATAATAAAACTGATTTTTAAAAAATAATATATATTATTTATTAATTTATGTATATTATATATTTTAAAAATATTATTTTATAATAAATTAAATTTATCTAAAAAATATTATTTTATATAATTTTAATTTATTTTTTAGTAATTACTTATAAAAATAATTTATAATTATTTTATGATATATAAATTATTAATTATAATTTTTTACCATAAATAAAATTTAAAATTAAAAAAAAATTAAAATTTATTTTATTAATATTATTATTATAAATTATTATTGTTAGTTGTTTATTGATATTATTATATTTTAAATTTTTAATTATAAGTTTAATATTATTTATTATTTAATATTTATTATTTATTATTTATTATTTATTATATATTATTTATTATTTATTATTTATTATTTATTATTTATTATTTATTATATACTATTTTTATTTTTATATATTTTATTATTTTTTAATATTTTTATAATATAAAAAACTTCGAATATTTTTTTTTATTATTTTATTTTGTAATATAAATAAATATTTTGACATTTTGTTTATATATATATATATTATTATTATATAAATATATTTTTTTTTATTGATTTTTATATATAAAAAATATTTATATATTATAAATATTAATTCATTTTTTTTATTATAATAATAATTATAAATATGTATTTATTTTAAATATTACATTTATATGTTTATATGTATTTTAGATATTTTATAATTTTTTTTTTATGATTTATAAAATTTTCAAACTAATTACTAATTATAATTAAAATTGAAATATTATAATAATTCAATTTTTTTTTGTTACTATTACTTTTATAAAATATTAATATTAAATAATTTTTAATTTTTTTTTTTATTTTATATTTTTTATTTTATTTTTAATAATTATTATTTTACTATTTTTTTATAATTTTTTCATTAAATGATTTTTAAAACTAGGTTTTATATTTATTAATATATAATTCTTTTTCATTTTATAAATATTATAATAATTAATTTTTAATATTTTCTTTTTATTAATATACTGATTTTATTTTATTTAATTGTATATAAATACAATTTTGTTCTATTTTTATCACTTAATTATTTTTTATTTTATAATTTATTTATAAATAAAATTATTAATATTTTTATATAAGTTTATTTATAAAAAATATATAAATAATAAATAATTTTATTTACTTAATATTTCAAAAACGAAAAATAAAAATTATAATAAAATATTTTACATAAAAAAACAATAATTAATTATATTATATTATTATTAAATATATATAATAAAAAAATATTAATAAAAAACACTTAGAAACACTACTAATGTAAAATAAATAAAATTTAGTAAATGAAAATAAACAAGATTTTTATATTTTAGAAAAATTTAAAGATTAAAAATATTAATTATAGGGTAGTTTATACTAGAATATTATCAGTTTCAATAGCCCTATATTTTTATCTAATTAATCAAGAGTAAATTTTATTAAAACTATAAAAGGAATAAAGAGAGATGGCTTAAAATGTTCATAAATAACTAAATTGTAAAATTCAAATATTTAATAATAAATAGTCGAATAAAAAAATACCATAGAAAAAATTTTACATCTACAGATAATGATAATTATTTAATATAAAAAAATAAAATAATAAGGAATTTTATTAATTAAAATAACGTTTCTCCTAATTCACCCAAAACAGTAAATTTTATAAGCCATATGAAATAAATGAATATAGTAAAAAAATTTAATAATAAAATGAAAGAAGTAATTACAAAATACGATCTAAATAATTTATCCAAATTTTAATTACAAATTATTAATGATAATTCTTATTATCTAATTGAAAAATCTAAAAATTTCCTTATAACTAATGTATATTAATATTTTAAACTATTATATAGTTACTTTTTAAAATAAAAATCGTATTCTCCTGACAGTAGATTATTTGTATTTTGGAAAGGAATATTAATAGTAAATAAAAAACTTTATATATAAAATATTATTCTAAAAAAATAAATAAAAAACAATAAAAAAGTTAATTTATTTAATAAATTTATATGATGTTCCTTTGCAATTTATATATACAGAAGATTTATAAAATTCCCTATACTATTAAATAATTTTTTATTTAATTCCTTTATTAGCTTTTTTAATAGAAATAATTTTAAATTTTAACACTGGTTTTTACAAAGAAGGTCATATTGTCACATCTAAATAAGAAATAATCCATAATTACATAGGATTTTAATTTTGGTTAGATTTTGTAACTGCTTTAGGCTTCGCATTTTCATAAATAGTACCATCTTTAAAATTTCTATTTTTAATTCGGATATATAACTTCTTTTTATAATTAAGATAATTCGAAGAACGATCTTAATATATTTAAAGTTTCCCTTCTTTATGGACTTTACTAAAATTATTTATTTTGATTTTTACTATGGCACACTTTTGTGGATGTGGGTTTACTTTGGTTGCTTATATTTAATAATCTGCTAGTCCCAATAGTACTAATTGGTTAAAAAAATATGAAATTATTAATGAATAATGGGTAACTCATTATATTTATAGCCTTTATTTTAGCTTTATTACTATGATTACTGTTGGTTATGGAGATATCACTCCTTAGACTAATTATGAAAGGATTTATGTTATTTTTATGACTTTGATTTCGTGCGCAGTATTTGCTTATTCAGTTAATACTATTGGGAATATTTTTTCTGAAATTGCGGCAAGATCAGCTAATTATAGGTATTTCTTTTTTTTTATTTCTTTTTTTTATTTAAAAAATAAATATTGAGAATTGTAAAGCATTAAATGAGTTAATATATGAGAAATAGAGATATTGATTAATAATTATAAAGTAAAGTATTTTAATATTTGAATTACTATTATTTAGAAAGAGGATAAAATTAAGAATAAAGTGAAGAAATTTTGAATTAACTATCAACTGAATTATAACAGGAAGTCAAGTAAAATTACTATGGGAAAGCTTTAAAAACATCGTCTTTTTTAAATGGAAATTTTTCAGAAGAATTTATAAATGAATTGACATTAATTACTAAAGAAGTGTAATATTTAAAAGGGGAAACTATATTTTAGAAAAACTCATATGATACTAAGCTTTTAATAATTACAAAAGGCACAGCTTAATTATGTGTAGAACATTCAACTTTAAATAATATTTAATTAATAAAAATTGATGTAACAAAATAAAGTATAAAACATTGTAAAATAATACTTGTTTTAATTTTTTTTTTTAAATTTTTTTAGAAAGGCGATATAGGAGCTAAAGGCTTTATGACAAAATAACCAAGAGAAATTAGTTTAGTTGCTTTAAGTAATTGTACATTTGCATATTTATTAATTGAAGATTTTTTAACTATTATTAAATAATTTCCAGTTGATTATGTATACATATAAATATATTTAAATTTATATTTATATCTTAAAAAAAGGAAAGATTTTGTTATATAAGAGATTAGAATAGTTTTTAATAAAAAATAAATATAAAAAATGAATAATGTTTTAGTTGTAAAAAATTCGGACATGGAATTATTGGATGTCCATCTATACATTTTGTGAAAAAGAAGGAGATTTTTATTTTAAAACATCTTCATTCTTATTAATAACCAAGAAAATAATAAGAAAGGAAAAAAATTATAATAAACACACTTATCTATTCATCTTAAAACTCATAATTATTAAAAATGAAAAGAATAGATATTTTATCTAAAATTAAAAGAAAATAACTAGCAAACTAAAGTTAAGAAGAAATGGAAAAAACATTTACAGAATTGAATTTAGCCTATTAATAAGACGATTTTACATTTTACAAATAAGCAAAGGCTATTAAACTAGATGAAGAAAATACTTTTATTTTTGATTATGAAGAAGAAGATAAATACGATGAAATAGATAACTCAATTAATAGTATTTCCGAAAAATAAAAAGACTTATAAAAGGGCGATATATTATCTTTAAAATAAGGAAAGTAAATAGATAACGAAATTACGAGCTTAATTGATATTGGTTAAGGTCTAAAGTTTTATATTTAAGAAACAAAATAAGAAAAATTTAAAGTTAGGAGTTTTAAGAATAAAATGATAAATTTTTAAAAAAAATAAATAAATAAAATATTTAATTTAAATTTTTTAATCAAAATAATAATAAATCAGATACTTTTAATAATATAGATTATAATTTTTATAAATAAAAAAATCATGAAATTATGAGTAAATAATTATAATAAAATAAAGATTTTTCATTTAAAAAAAAAGTGAATTTAAACAAAATTAATAATTTGCTGTTTAATAATATATTTATAATTAATAATTTAATAATAATTAATAGAAATTTAATCAATTATTATACAATTAATAATAAAATGAATATAAGTCTTTAATATCTATTTAATAAATTCAAGAGTCAATTTATATTATAGATTTTGATTTTGCAAAGGAATATAAAATTTATTATCCTTTAGATAATTATACAATTATTATTAAAGAGATTAATAAAAAAATTAAAAAGAAAAAAAATGTAAAATAGTTCAGACAAAAAATTTAAATAAGAAATGCACTTTTAGGAAAATGAATAAAATTTATATTATAATTAAATATAAATATTTATCTATAAATTTTTTATTTAAATATAAAAAAAAAAAAATTATTGTAATTAAAATATATATATATAATTATTAAAAGAAAAAATTAAATTTGAATGAATACTAATTTATATATATATATATATATATATATATATATATATATATATATATATATATATATATATTTAATATTTAATATAAAAAAACTATTCATTTTTTTCTTGTAACACTTAATATATCTTAATTCAAGTTTTTATTAATTTTACTCAAATATTCCTACTTATCTTAGAGTCTTTTTAAAACCATCATATTATTTTCATTATTTTCACATTAAGTTTTCCAATAATTAATATCATTATTTTATTATTCAATTTCTTATAAAATTTAATTAATTTCTTGTTCATTTTTTTTTTATTTGATTCTAATATCTTCTATTTTTTAAAAATCATTCATTGTAAGTTCATTATCTACTTATTCTTCAACTTTAGCTATTTATTTATAAATATATAAATATGTATATATATAAATATATATTTATATATATATACATATATATTTTTTTAAAAATACATATAATTTTACCTCTATTTTTTTCTAATTATTCGTAATTGTTTTACCAATTTTATACTTCATTCATTTTTTCTTCTAAAATATTTGATTATCTTGCAATTTCTTTTTCTAATATATCTACTTTTTCCTCTAAATTTAATAACCTAGTAGATTATACTCTTATTACTTCAATACTTTCAATATCTCTAAAATATCCATCTGATTATTCTCCTTTTTTTATATATTAGACACTAGGAGATTTATCAATATATTCGCCAGCAATTTTCTTTGCCTAAGAATTCGTAATAGAAGGAGCAAAATTACTAAATAAAGCGTTAGGGCTATTTAATAAATGATTTTAATTAGATTAAAATGAAACTTATTGAAAATTAGCAGGTTATTAAGGAGTTAAAGAATAAACAGATTGCATTTAGTGAAAAGATGGAATATGTTATATATTATGAGGAGTCTATTGTAAATTATGAGGAATTTAATGCAGAGGTGAGGATAAATGTTAAATATTTTATATTGGTAATTGTTGCTAGAAAAGAGAAGGTTATAACATGTTATTTATTTTATTTTTTTACAATATAATAATTTTTTAATTAAAACTGTTGTTTATTTATACAGATATTATTTATGTTTTATATACCGTTTTTCTTTTTTTTATATTATTTAAATATATAAATAAATTATATATATATATATATATATATATATATATATATATATATATATATATATATATATATATTTAGTTGTTTCATTTTTATGATTATAGATTAAAATAATGCTTTTAATTAAAAAATGAAAGTTTTTTAATTTTTTTAAATTATTTATTATATTTTAAATTTTATATGAGTTCAATTAAGTATTAGCTTTTTTAAATATATTATATTAATTTAAAAAATTTTGTTTAATAATTTTAAATAATATTATTTTAAATCAGTTTTAAATTTAAAGATTAAATTAGAATATTTAATTATAAATTTAAATATTTCTTATTTAAATTTAATAAAGGAATTTATATTATTTATTTATTTTTAAAAAAAATATATATTTACTTCTTTATAGTTATTATTTACAATTTTTTTTTATTTTTTTATTTATTTATTATTTTTTTTATTATTTAAATATTTTTTCTTATATTTATAATATTTTTGTATGCTTTAATATATATAAATTTATGTTATATCAATTCAAATTTATATAGCAATACGAAATAGTTTTTATCTTTGATTTTATGTTTTTAAATTTTTTTTTTTTTACATATTAATAATTCTGTTTTTTTTTTTTTTATAATTTTATTTTTCTGTTTCTTTTTTTTTCTGTTTGGTTATATCTTTTTTGAAATGAATTTATTATCAAATTTTAAATATTTTTTTAATTACTATCTATGTATGTATTATGATTAGTAGCTTTTATATAAATTATTATTATTTTCTTTATTTAAATTTAATTATTATTTATTTTTTAGTCTTAATATAATAAAGATTACCTTTTGATTTTGATATTTTATATTTTTCATTTTTTATTTAAATTCTTATTATTTTTAATTCTATTGATTTATTAAATATTAAGATTTTTTAATTACTTGTTAATTTTAAAGATTTTTATCCTAACAAAATTCATTAAATATTTATAAAATAAATAATTAAAATATTTATTAAAGTAAAAAATATTATTGATATAATTAAATAAATTTATTTATTACATTTTTTAAAATCTCATAAAAAAAAAAATTGTTTATTAAATTCTTTTTATATTTATTAAAATCGTTTTTTTTATTAAGTTTTAATATTCAAAGATTTGCAAATTTAAATTTTCAGTTAAAAAAAATTAAATTTATTCAAACATAAATTAGGAAAAAAATTTATTATATATATATATATATATGTTTTCAATTAACATCTCTATTTTATAGCCTGTTATAATAATTTAAAGTTAAATAAAATATTTTAAATATTTAATATTAGAAACTTTGTATATATTTAATACTTTAATTTATAGTTTTAATTTACTTATATTTTTGAATGCTATTATAATATATTAAATTCACAAAAATAAATAAATATGAAATATTTATTTAAATTAAATGAAATGAAATAGAAATAAAATTGCAATGCATATTCGAATTTTCATATTATGAATCTTAAATAATTTATACTAGGTATTTATATTGTGATTTTATTTATATTTACAAAATAAAAAAATTTTAAATATAATATCTATTTAAATTATATATATAAATATGTATAATCTTAATAGATTTAATTTATTAATAGAATAATAATCTTAAAAATTTTTTTCTCAAATATATAAACATCATTATTACTTTATAATTTAATAATTAAATTTTTTTTTGTATTATTTTATTACATAAAATACTAATTATATTAAATTATATTTAATATTATTATTATTATCTAAAAATTAAAATGTAAAAGAATTATTTATCTACTCTAAGTATTTATATATTTTTATAGACTAATCATTATAAAATACATTTTGATATAAAATTTATCCAATTTATTTAAAACTAGTAATTAGTTTATAAGTGACCCTTTTTTAAAAAATAAAAAATAAATGCATAAGATAATAATTTTGTTTCTTATTTAATTTATTAATTTTTTATATTTTAAAACTATATTATTTTATATTATTAAATACGAAACTATCTTTATGCTATCAATTAATGTAAAATATTTAATTTCCTATGATATTTGTTTTTATTTAAATTTTATATCTATTATTTATTTATTATAAGATTACTTATTAAAATTATTTTATTGAATTCTTGTTAAGGTTATTTTATATAATTAAATATGTAAACAAAAGCTTTGATTTTTTTTATATGTTTTCTACGAAATTTTGAATATATTTTAGATTTAGCTTAATAAATAATATTATTAAATGTAAATTTTAAACTTATTTTTACATTTGATTATTATAAAAAATTTATAATTTATAATTGTTAAATAATATTATTAGAAATTAAATACAAATTATTTAATATTTACAAATATTATATCAAAAATAAAATTATTTTAACTTTTATTTAAAACTAATAAATTACAAATTTAAATTATTTTTTTTATAATAAAAAAAAAGAATATTTTATTTAAAAAAAAAATAAAAATTAAAACAATATAAAAAGTAAATAAAAAATTCATGAGTTCATCATAAAAAATTTATTCTGTAAAATTTATAATGCTTATACTTCATGTAATAATATCATCACAAATCTTAGTTTCTCATGTACATAAATATTAGTTTATTAAAAAATAGATAGTTTTTTTTAAAAAAAAGGAAAATAATATTTATTCGTCATTCTAAAATCTAAAAAAAAACAGTAATGCATGGAATACAGCAGATAAAATGTATTATTAATAAATAAAATAAACAAAAATAATTTAAATAAAGGATAACATAAGTAATGATTGTAACTATAGTTTTTTTAGCAATTGAATTAGTTTTTTTGATTGTAGGATTAAATATGTTTAATGATAGATTTAATATTATACGTATAAATATAATCATATTAAATATTTAAAAAAATAAAAAATATAAAAGAAATTATACTTCATTTCTTTGGAGTCATTTTATATTCTTGGTTTTGCTTAGATAGTTGGTAATATAATCAAATTTGGTCTGTTTGGTTTTTTTTAGGTTTTTTATTTTATTTGCATAAATATATTATATATAATAAATATAACAGTTTATGCCCTTTAGGATTTGAATTATTTATAGCAATTTAATCTCATTTATATTACAAAAGATTTAAAGTTTGAAAATACTTTATATAATAAAAATTTTAAAGTAAATATAGATAAAATAAAAGTGTCCATAATTTTATATTTTAAAACTTAAACATAAATTAAATATTATTAAAAGCATTTTAATTTATTTTTTGATATGATTTCTTAATCATAAATATTATTATTTTCTTTTAAAAAAAAATGCATATTTATAGTCAAAAGAATTACAAAAAAGTTAATATTTTTTTAAAAATAAACTAATTAATATTTTAAAAAAACTATTTTTTTTTTAAAAAGAAAAATACAAAAAGTAATAATAATTATATTCAATTAAAAATATTTTTATAATTAAAAATATAAAAAATACATTTTAAGCTAAAAAAAACAAATAAATAAAGTAAATGGAAAACGAAACACAAAAAAAACTATAATAAGAAGAAACCCAAGAAAAAAAACAATACCAGACTAACCCCAATAATCCAATCAATAAACAAGCCAAAAACAAAAACACTAAACATATAACAAATCTGAAAAGCATACTCATATATATAAAATAGTATTAATAGGAGATGCCGGAGTAGGAAAAACCCATATAATAAATCGATATGTCAAAAATTAATTACCTATGACCATAGTCCCGACAATAGGAGTAGAGTTTGCCACAAAAACAGTTACATTAAAGGAAGGAGGAACAATAAAAGCGTAAATATGGGATACGGCAGGGTAAGAAAAATATAGAAGTATAACAAGCGCTCATTATAGGAAAGCAGTAGGAGCATTACTAGTATATGATGTAACTAAAGATAAATCATTTATTTCACTTTAAAAATGGTTAGAAGAAATTAGAATGCATGCCGATAATGATATTGTTTTAATGTTAGTCGGAAACAAAGTTGATTTGGTAGAAAAAAATCCTTAGTAAAGAAGAGTTACTAAGGAAGAAGCTGAACAATTGGCTAAAGAAAATAATCTTTTATTTGAAGAAAGTAGCGCATTGTTAGATATTAATATTAGTTATGCTTTTTAAAAATTATTGGAGGAAATTTATGATTAAAAAAGTAGATTGATTAGTGAACCTTCCTTTATTAAAAATAAATAAAGTAATTAAGAATATGTTAAAAGTCTAATTGATTCTAAAAATCTTAAAGATAATAATAATAAGAATAATAATAATTTAAATTAAAATAATTTTTGTGATTGTAATTGATAATATATACATATTTTTGGTTATTTTAATTTACTTTTTATTTTTTTTAATACTATAATAATAATTATTATAGTATTATTAAATTAAATTTAATAATATATATATAAAAAATAATATATAAATATATAAAAAAATAATATATTTATATATAAAAATATATATATATATATGTATTCTTAAATATTTTAAATTTTTTTATTTATTTATATTTATTAATTTGTTTATCTTATAATAAATGATATTTCAAATATTATATATATGTTATTTAGTATTATATTTGATTAAAAAATTAATTATAAATAATAATTTTTAATAATAAAATATTTATATTATTTTTTTCTATTTTTGCTTTATTTCAATTTTTTTAAATTTTAGTAAGATTAAATATAAAATAAAATGGATTATGATTTTTTCGTAACTTAATATATATTGATTTAACTTCCATCTTTTGTTTTTATAGTTTCTTCAATAATAAGATATAATAAAATAAAGCAAAAGCCTATAGTCGTATTAAATTTATAAAATATATCTGAATATACGATTACATACTAAATAAAATACAAATTATCTCAAATTTTATATTTTACATACATAATAGCATTTTTTGTAGGTTTAATAGGCTCTTCTTAATATTACTCAGGTTCAGAATATAGTTTATTATTAAGATTTGAAATATTTGGAGCAATTTCTTGGTTTATATCCTGTTTTTTATTGAAAGTAAAATAAAATAAATCCTTACATTAATATTTAAACATATTTTTTTCTTTAGGAAGAATATATAAGGGATTTAAATTAATCTTTAATAGGCCATCGTTTATTTTGGCCGTCAGCATTTTGCTTTAATATAATTTCTATTTTAAAGGAAGATTTAAAAATAATGGATATATTATTTAATATAACAAGAACATTTACATGCTCAATATTATTTATGTATGCATTATATAAACCTTATGATTAAAATAAAATTTTTATGGACACAAATGATGAAATTCCTACATTTTGTAGAACTTTTTTCGAAAAAATTGAAACTTCGTAAACTATAATGAATATTTTGAAAATACACATACAAAAAGAAGAATAAGAATAATAAATATCCGAAAATTTAATTTAAATGACATAAATAGACTAAACTAATTAAAAAATAAATAAAGAAAATAAAATATTACAATAAGAAAATAAAGACTAAAATACTAATAATTTTGATATTGAAATGTTTCTTTTTAATAAACTGCCAAGAAGAATAATTGGCTTAAATAAATAAGTTACTAAAAAAACAGAAGATGGAAATAAATTAAAAATTTATTACTAAGTAATAACATAAATTGGTGATTCATAATTTATAATTAATAAAAGCTTTAAATAACTAAAAGATTTAGAAAACGAACTTAAAAATATTTATTAAGACACAAATAAATAAGAATTCCCTTTGTTATAAGAAATAAAAATGAAAAATTGCTAAACAGAAAGTGAATGTATATAAAAAAGAATAGAAGCAATAGAAAACTGGCTAAAATAAATATTCCAAAAACCTTTTTTCATACATAAAACACTTTTAAATTTTTTAAATGTTAATTAAAAAGAATATTAAAATCCTTTTATTCATTATTATGAGCATATTATTAAAAACCAAATTTATAAAAATAATAAAAAAATATAAAAATAAAATTAATAAGTTTAATAAAATAGCTAAAATGAAATAAGTGAATAAAATAGTTAAAATAAATAAAAATAATAAAATAATTAAAATTAAAATTAAAACAAAAGTTAAAATTTAGATTAAAATTAAAATTAAAATTAATAATAATAATAATAATAATAATAATAATAATAATAATAATAATAAAAATTATAATTATCGATATAATAAAAATATTTAAAATCTTTAAATAATTGTGCTTCTGTAGATAATTTATCTTCTTAGTAATTATAAAAAGTTTAAAAAAAACTGAAAGTTTAGCTAAATTACAAAATGATTAAATTGAATTTTCTAAAAATAATTTTGAATTTTTTATTTCTTGCTCGAATTTCGAAAAATCTAAATATGGAAATTTAATTGAATATGTATTTGATGTAATACATAAAAATAAAAATGGAACCATTGAAAAATGGAGAATTAATAAAACTATGACTCAAATAAAAAATTTTAATAATGATTTAGAAATATATTTGAATACAACTGTACATTATTATAATAAATTAATTTAACAAATAAATTTTATATTAAATTCTAACGAAAAAAACCATCTAATGTAAAAATAATAGGCTTTAAATGTTTATATTTAGTCTATATTTTAATTCAAAATTTATTTTTGTAAACCTCTTTATGATTTTATTTAATTTGATCCTATAAAATAAATACATTATGAGTCAAAATTATGTACCCCAAGAGAATCTGTATTAAATACAGAGAATGAACTATAAATTAGTTCAAATCCTTTGTCTAATTTTTAAGGGTTAACTGATGAAAAAAGTTAAGAAGAAACAAGTAATATAAAATATATAATTTAGTTATATATATTTTTTTTACTTTTTTTAATATAAAAATCTTATTAGAATAAAACTTAGATATAAAAGGGCTAAATTTGTGTAAATAATTTAATTTAATGAATTTATATAAAAAGCCTTTAAATATAAAAAACTTAAAGGAAAAAATGGCTTATGGAATCAATTTAAATAGATGTGTAATAAGTGTTTAATAAATAAGACTTTAATAAATTTCTATGAATTAATTTTAAAATGTATATTTAATTTTTACAGAATAATATGATGAATTGTTTGAAAAAATTATAGTAAGAATTAAAATTGATAGAACTTATTAATAAATGTAATAATTGAATTAACATTTGATAAGAATTTATAGCGGATGTATAGATGTTCCGAAATTGCCTTTAGAAAAAGTTCCTTCTTCATAATTAGAAGCTGAGGACATTAAAAAGTATTACGATCTTTATTTTGAAAATATACTAAAACTTCCAAGTATTGAAATTAATAATACTTTCTTAACGTTTTTAAAAATTATTGATATTTAAATTAATAACTCTAATCCTATTAATATATTTGATTTTACTTAAGATAGGGTTAGTTTACCTCTTGTTTATTGAATATTATTTATTTATATTTTATTTTTTAATAAAAATATTATTTATTAATTGTTAAAGTATAACACATTTCATTTTATTTTTTATTTTTCTTAACTTAATTTATTCTTTTTATTAAAAATATAAAATTATAAAATTAAAATAATATAAAAATATATATATAAATAAATAGGTATAAAAATATAATTATATGTACATATTTATATTAATATGAATATATATATACTTATATTTTAGTAAAAAACATAATTAATAATAGTAAAAAGTTAATAATATATCATAATAATATTTTTATTTTTATTGCAAATAAAATAATTGTATAAAATATAAAAAAGAATATTCATATTACTATCTTTCATCAATAAATATATAATAATTAAAAAAATATTTGCATATTTTCTACAGACAATAAAACAATATTTCTTTTTATAACTAATAGTCTAAATAATTAAATAATCTAAAATCAGGTTATTAAATGATACAATATAAAATTTAAAATTTGTAATTTATAATAAGCAAAACTTTATTAAACTACAAAAATTAAATAAAAAATAAAAATATATTAAGAATACAATTCGTTTTCTAAAAAATAAAAATGGAATATTATATCTATAAAACTTTATCTATTTAAATCCTTAAATAAAAAGGAAAATTTCCTAATTAATATAATTATATATAGAAATAATTATTCATAATAAATATAAAAATTCGAAAATATAAATAATAATATAATAAAACAAAAAACAATAATGTATTAAATATAAAAAAATTATATTTGAAAACTTAAATAGTTTATTTTAAATAATTTTTTTAGATTAATTCAAAACAAATAAATTAATAATAAACTTCTTAAAATTCTTTTTAGTAAATATGTAAAATAATAAGAGATGTATTTTTCGTGAATTTTTATCTATAATTATTCAAAGTTTGTTTAAAAATAAAGATGAAATATTAAATTAAGTAAGTTTATATTAGTTTTTTTTAATTTATTTAAATAAAAAACAATATTAAAGAATTATATTTATTCCTTATTTTTAACTATATTGCTATATTTATTTTATAAGATATATAATTTTTAAATTGATTTTTTAATTATTTTATTCAAAATATTTAAATATGCATTTTCAATTAAAAATTAAAATTTGAAATTATTAAAATTGTTCTTATTATTATATTATAAATTAATTTATTTAATTTAAATTAAAAAATAAAATTCATATTACTTTTTTATAGATTATATGATTTTTTCTGTCATTTTTTTTTTTCTAATACTCAATAATCAAAAAACAAATGTTAGAAAAATACTGATCTTTTCTTTTATAAACAATTTGATAATTACTGAGTTTTTTAAAAAAAATCAATGAAAAAATATATAAATCTATAACCAAATAATATATATAAACCAAAACGTATTTTTTAAATATTTTATAATATAAAAAAAAAATTAAATAAAAAAATAATCTAAAATACAAAAAAAAATTCATAAATACATGATATGCTCAAATTAGTATTTTGAAAATCTTAAAAAATACGAGCCTAACCCTTCATAAAAGTAAAAAAATAATTATCTTCCCATTCAAAAATATAATACCAATCCCAAACAAATGCCATATCCAATATTAGACTAGCAATCAACAACATAATAATAAAGAGTAACCCTAAATCAAAAATAAACACAATAGCAATAAAAATCACAAGAATGTGCTTTTCTTTAGCAAAAATCAACAAATAAGCAATATCAAGAAGATATGAAAAAACCCAAATAAAAATCCAATTAAAAGCATCAAAAAGAAGATTCTCCTACCTAAAAAAAGAAGTCTTAAAATTTCTATTAACAAAAATAAAACAACCAAACAATCTAAATTGCATCTTCTTAAAAATTCATAAAAAATAATAAAAATTTTTCACATGAATCCAGACCTATTTTAAGCTTATCTTTATTACCTAATGCAAGTAAAGAGATCGAAAATATTTTTTTTTAAGAAAATCAAATATAGTAATAATAATAATAGTATATATAAATTGATAATAATGAGTAATATAAAAACAAACAAAAAAATTTAAAATTTTCTTTTGAATAATTAAAAAGTCCTGTAGGTATGAATAAAACTTTTTTATCTCCTTAATCCAAATTTTAAATAGGAAATATTCCTTAATAAATATCTAAAACATAAATAATTTCAAATAATTCTTAATAAAATATAATATATAACATTACAAATTTGACTTTTTAAACTAATTAAATTTAATAATTACCTGAAAATACTCTTGAATTAATAAAAAATACTTAAATACCTAATTACGAAAAAACTAAATTTTCATTAAAAAGGAATGGAATAATCAAAAGTTATGCTGTAAATACTAATCAAGGTTTAGTTAGAGATTATAATGAAGACAGGGTTTCTATCATTTTAAATATAATGAAGCCTTCTTAATAAAGTTAAAATTAAAATTTAAATCAAGATAATTAATGGCCAAAATGTTCCTTTTTTGGAGTTTTCGATGGACATGGGGGAATTTCTTGCTCAGATTTTTTAAGAGATAATTTACATTAATTCATTATTAAAGATTCTAATTTCCCTTTAAATCCTACTTAGGCAATTTTTAATGGATTTAAAGAAGCTGAGAATCAGTTTATTACATAAGCTTAATAAAATAAAGAAGGAAAAATAGATAAATCTGGTTCTTGTGCTATAATTGTACTTATTTTAGGTATTTTTTTAATAAGAAACTTAAAATATTATTGTTTTTGTTTAATAGGAAAAAAATGTTATATTGCAAATGTTGGAGATAGTAGAGCTATTATGAGTGCATGTGGTGGTAGTAAAATTTTCGAATTATCAAGAGATCACAAACCTTAAGATGAGATTGAAGAAAAAAGAATAATCGAAGCAGGAGGTTAGATTTATTAGTAATTTTTTAATTTTAAAATTTATAATTAATTTTTTTTATTTTATATATTTATAAAGAACTAAAATAATAAATAATAATTAAACTTAAAATGATTAAAGCTAATAAATATATGGACCTTATAGAGTTTATCCTGGAAGATTATCTGTAATAATTATATATTATATAAACTTATTTTTTATTTGTATAATAAATATATAAAGGTAACTAGAACATTTGGGGATATAGAAGCAAAATTAAAATAATATGGAGGAAATCCAAAAGTAGTAATAGCAACTCCAGATATAAAAGAATTTGAAATTGAAGAAGATTTTGACTTCATTATGATTTCAAGTAAAAATTTTAAAAAAATATATATGAAATTAAAATAAAAATATTAAAAAAGATTAAATTAAAAAAAATATATATTTATAACAAAAAAATATATTAATATAAAAAGGTGATGGTATTTTTGATAGATTGTCTTCAGTAGAATGTATTTAAAGTATTTGGAGTTAAGTTTATGATAAAAGCATGAATAATTTTAAAAATTCTCATGAATTTTGTGGAAATGGAGTAGATTTAGTAATGAAACATTCTCTTGCAAAATAAACAATGGATAATATTACTACTGTTATTATTGGATTTGATAATTTGAAAAAAAAACTTTTTCCTAATAAAAAAAAACAAAGTTCTAATTAAAATAAGCCTTAATCTGTAAAATAATAAAATGAATTTTAAAAAAAGATTGAAAAAACTAAAGAAAATGCTATTTTAGGAAAATATTAAGTTAATATTAATTAAGCATAATATTAAAAAGAAATAATATAATAAAAAGAAGTTTTATAATCATAAGAATTTCAATAATAAAGATTATTATAATAATAATAATAGAAAAAAAATCAGTAATAAAAAGAAATATCGAATAGTAGTTTTTAATATAATTAGCTAAGCTAATAAGGTAAATTTATTGCAAATAATTTTGTTTTATAAGAATAAAAGAAAGTATATAATAATTATTTAGATAATAATTAAATACAAAGAAATATTAATAATAAAAGCAATTATTTTTCTAATTAAAATAGTAAAGTACTTTTTAACAAAAGCTTAATAGAAAAACAAATACCTTAAGATTAAAATTAGTCAGTAAAAATTAAGATAAATGGCAATAATAATATAAGTATAAGTTCTTATGCAAAACATAAGTGAATAAAAAGGAGAAAAGACAATACAATTTTGTTTAGAAAAAATTGTAAATATTCTATTATAAATAAAAATAAAAAAAAACCAATTTTGATAATTTTATTTATTTATATATATAATATTAATTTTTTAATAAGTGTATTTATTTATACATAATTTTTATTTTGTTTAAATTGAATAAATAAATATATTAATTATTAAAATAATATAAAAAATTAACATTTTCAATAAAAAATATTAAAAAAACACTATTTAAAATATAAATAAACATACCTAATAAAGAAAATCCAAAAATACTTATACTCTAATTCTTAATTAAAAATTTTATTAATCATATAACTATTTATCTAAACAGCTTAACTGATATTTTATTGTAAAAACTATCCATTTTCATACATCAAACTAATTTAATACATACTTTTAGGATTCAAATTACTTATATTATAAAAATAGTATGCATACTCAAAACTATTCTAAAATGAAACTGATCCTTCATACATAAAATTACCTACATCCACAAAGCTTTTCCCTTTACTACTTAAAAGTCCATCTTTATATAAAAAGAGCATTGAACACAATTTACTATCATTAAAAACACACTTAAAATGCTTCATTTCGTGTGAATATTTTTAGAAAAGAACTCCTGCATCATAATTTGCCTTATGTAGTCCTATAAAAGCAGAAAACAAAGAATAAATAAGAGAATCTTCATATCTTTGTTACTAGAACCTCTTAATAGCTTTTTCTTTATATACATTTAATTTGCTCTAATTAGATTTTTTATCACTTAATAAACTTAATAAATACTCACAAGAAAGTCCAATATCATATTTTTTTAAATGTAAACTGAGGCTAAGTAAATTTAAGCTCTAGTACTTTATTTTACTACTTTTTTCATTAAATGATTGGCTTTTGGAATATTTTTAGGAACATTATCAAATCCTTATAAATATAATAAAGCTAAATTAACGGTAGATTCCACATTTCCATCATCAGAACATTTCTGAAAATAATTAGCAGCAAGAGTTAAATTTTTAGAAACACCAATACCTTAACTATATAAATATCCTAGACCTCCGTTACTAAAATAATAAAAAATAAAATATATATAATAAAAATTTATGAATATTGGTAAATATATATATATAATTAAATATATATATATATATATATATATATATTATATATATATATATATATTCATGTTTTGAAATATTTTTATTATAGAACATAATATATAATTTTTTTTTTTGAATATATTAATATACATACACATACAAACACATATATTTGTTATAAATTTTAAATTATTTATAATTGTTTTATATTTTTTTTTTTATAAAAAATTAATAATAATAGTAAAATATTTAAAATAATAAAATTATATTTTGATTTTAAAAATAATTTTTTTAATTTATATTTTTTATATTTTTTTTTTATTACGCATTTTTTTCACCTAAATTTAAAGCTTTTTCAAAATAATATTTTGCTATTAATCCATCTTAAGGTACTCCTTACCCATTTGCATACATAAGTCCTACATAATATAATGCTTAAGGATTACTTTGTTAAGCTGCCATTTGGAAGTAATTAAAAGCTTATTAATGATTTTATTGGATGTTATTTTAGATATTTCCTATATAGTAATCACCTCCTAATTATAATTATTATTAAATATCGCCGTTATTTGCCCTCATTCTCATTATATCCTCAATTTAGTTTTCTGGTGTAATTTAATTTTAAGCTAAAAGGTCTTCGTAATTAATATCTGTATTTTTCCATACAAAAACTTCACTTAAATTTGAATTTTCTTCATTTTCCTCGTCTAAATCTTCTATAGAACTCTGAAAAAAACCCTAAGTAGCAACTGCTGCTATAGTTAAAGCATCAACACAAGATGGGCATTAATTTTTTTCATATTTACTTAAAAAATTACTGCTAAAACCGATAACTTTATCAAGTTTTTCTCTTGTATTTTTCAAATAGATAGTTAATTGATCATTATTATCATTATTCTAAATATTATTTACAGAATGGTTTTAATATTATTAATAAAAAGAATTATTTTCACTTAAAAAATACAATTTTTAATACAAAACATTCTCTAGCATATTTTCCAAAGGTAAAGTTTAATTTTATAATTTTAAACAATGAATCATTTCAGCGTAACTTAAGCTTATTGAAAGTTTACTTTATCTATATTAAGATTCTTCGTAAAGCTATATGATTAATTATTAGTATTTATTTTTATTTAATTTTATGAATAAATTTAAATTCTCTACATATTAGTCTAATTATAATATAAATATTATATAAATAGGAGCATCTTAATTATACAATTGTTCCGATTTATGAAAATAATATAAAGAAATATTTAAATTTCTAGAATAACTATCAATAGGATCCATTTCTTGGAGTATTTTAAAGTTTTCTTATTATGTAATATTTCTTGGTGTATAGTTTTAGCAAAAATATTTATCTTCAAAATGCTTTTCAAAATGCGATTTTTATATAGGATATTCAAATAGGGAATATTTACCTAATATTAAAGCTGCTTCGGAGTTTTTTTCGTATATGAAAGATTTTTATAAGCATGTTTTTAATTCTATTAAATTAAATGGTTGTTTTATTAACTTTTTGGTATAAATCCATATTTATTCTTTGTTTTCAGCTAATATTTTTTTTCGGGTGTATTAATGGATTATTCTATTGTACTTTCTTGGTTTTAAATTTGTTATATTAAATTCTTATTGAGTAGCTGAATATATATTAAATAATAATATTAAAAATATAAATTTCATTTTTGTTTTTTTATTTAAAATCGAATAAAAAAAATGATTAAATACAAATAATTATTAATAAAATTTATATATTTTAAATAATTATTTATTATAATTAAAAAAAATTTTAATTTAAATAAATAATAATAAATTGAGAAAGATAATCTTAGATTAATTAAATTTTCTAATTTTATATATATGTAAGATTTTATTAATTTTAATATTTACAAGTGTAATATTTTTTTTGACACAAATCAATTATAATAAATAATATATAAAAAAATTCTATAATTTTCTATATATATATATATAT